AAATTTTATTGACAAAAAAGTATTTAGTATTTCAGATGTCTTTTACTTATGTCAAACATTTATTTTCTACGCTTCAGTTTATTTGCTTATCAAGTCATTATTGACTGACAGAAATACCCACTCAATCCTAGTGTTAGGAAACATGGATAATAATTAATATATTCTCTTTAGTAAGCATTGGAGATGTTTGGGCTTTTGGCATTAATTTCTAATCAGTAAAATTGTTATTGACTTCCATTTTCTTTGTCATGTTTAGTGATTGGGATATAAAAAGTGGTCTTATTGAGAAACAATCATTTATTGTTTAATAGAAGTGGTCTTCTTGTGATCTAAAGGAAAATTATTCTCCCTTTGATATATCTTAAGATCTACATTTGCTTTAACATTTTTGTTGTTAGTGCATGTAATTTTAGTATGTTGTATTTTGTATTCCTAGACTTGTGTTCCTATTTTAGATTACACATTTATTATTGAGGCACACATTCAGCAATATTGTCGGAGTCTATTAAGTACATCTTTATGCCATACAACTTCATCAGAAAAGGCTTATTGTCTTTTGTGAATACTTCAAATCAGGAAGGTTTTGGTTCTTAATGTATTGTGATTAGTGTTGTTAAAAGGCGCTTGACTGTTCGCCTAGGTGCTTAGGCGAGGCGAGGTGAGGAGCAAGTACCTCACACAATGCTCGAGCAATGCGCTTTAGTGAAGCACTACTTGGGTGCTCGCCTCAGCCTAAGCGTCGAGCACCTCAGGCAAGCACCTAATTGAATGTAAACTAGATTATTAACTGGTTCAATTAAACTAGACGTTAGTTGGTTCAATTGAACCAACTAAGTATAGAAAACAAATTGTTGAATCTCGGATTTTGATGATGAAACCAATTGATAAGTGCTTATGATTTGATCTGCGTTTTGAGTGATGCAGGAAGCTTCGATCAGGGAGAGACAATTAAAGCAAGAAAAATCATGTTGGGCCGGAGCAAACATGTCAGAAGATTGGACGTCGGGCCAGAGGATCGGTCGACGTATCGACAGAAGGCTTCGGGCCATGGTTTCGGGCATCGGGCCAAGAAGAGCGAATATTGCGCCAAGGATATCGGAGTTACGGAGGTCAATTGGCCGATTGGGCAATTGGCCGCAAGAGAGGACGATGCGTCGAAGAATCGGACGAAGCATCGATAGACCAATGACATGTCGGACAACATGATTCATGCTAAGTAATAATTGTCTAGATCGAAGTGTGTTTTATGTGTGCAGGATTAACTACGATAGCAAGGCATAAAACAAAATGAAGTCTCGGAGTCAAGAATGCGATTTCGTTGGGAGTTCGAGAGTTCGTCGGAAGTCTGGACGTTCGTCGGAAGTTCTGTCGGAATTGGCCGAGAAGTCCAGGAGCTTGCCAAAGAAGCTCATCGGAACTCTCTAAGAAGATCGTCGTGAAGTCCAGGAGCTTGCCGGAAGTTCGCTAGAACATCGTCGAAAGATCGTCGGAAGTTCGCCGGAAGATCGTCGGAAGAAACCTAGACTTACGGACTTTGTTTAGCTTAGTAAGTGTCTTAAAATTCATAGTTAGCACATAATTGGGATTAGAATTGGGCCAACCCAATTAGGGGATAGTTGGGCCCAAGTTTAGGTTGTGTTTGGCCAAGAGAAAAGGCTCAAACAATGACCAAACAGGTGAAACCGTCGTGGCACAGTCTTCGAGACTATCTCAGGCGCTAGTATCGTCGAGACACAGTCTTCTAGGCGGTGGTACCGCCAGACTAGGCGGTGGTATCGCTCAGTGTCAAAGTGCAGGCGGTGGTACCGCCCGTACCCTAAAATTTCGGGGGATTTGATTTTTGGCTCTATTTTTGAAGCCATTTGGGGTCTATAAATACCATAGCTATTCCTGCATGAAGATGCAAGAAAAGTAAACAAAAATTTTGTGTTTCTAGAGTTGAAAACCCTTGTAAAGTAAAGAATCCCTCCTCCAAAAGTTTAGAGACCATTCTAAGGGAGAGTGTGAGGGAAGCTTTGTAAAAAGGGGGTGTAAAGGTTCTCTCCTGAGCCTGCAAAAGGAGAATAGAGCCGCAACGAGATTTTCAAACCGATGTAATTTTTACCACTGCACTAATTCACCCCCCCCCCCCCTAGTGCCGACTCGTTCCTAACACAAACCCCTCTCCCCTCTGATGCGCCTATGCTTTGCCATCGCTACCTCCTTGCGTAGTTCTCTTCGTTGTCGACGGACAAGTCTGATGCTTCCTCTATCGTTGACGGATAGGTTCGAAGCTCGCACCGTTACAACTCTCGTGCGTAGTTCCTTCCCCCGTTGCTGCTTTCATGTGCAGCTCACTTCGCCGCCGAGAGACAAGGCCACAACTTCCTCCTCCACCTACGAACACATCTGAAGCTTGCTCCGCCCGTCCACAGCTTTCTTTGTCATTGTTGTCGTCCACAACTTTCTTCGTCGCTCGTAGCTTTGTCTATCGTTGTTGTCACCCTCCGTTGCTTTCTCTGTCGTCGTTGTCACTGTTCGAAGGTTCCTCCATCATCGTTGTCCTCTTCTTCCCCACCTTCCATCATCGGTGACTCTTCTTCTCACTACTGTACACTATTAAAACTGTTAACCCTATTAATCCTTTAAAATTGATATTAATTAGAACTATTAACCCTATTTAGAACTACTAATCCTTATTTAGCATTGTTAATCTCTATTTATTTAGAACTATTATTAGAATATGGACATTGTGACTTGGTACTTTATATATTTTCAATTTAATGTTGTATTTTTTATTTTTATAATCATATTATATCTTATTTATATTTTAATATTCTAGAATGCCTCAATTTGCTCGGATGTTATTTATATGCCTAGGCTAGCTCTTAGCTCCTTGGGTGTTTTGGGACCTTGGCATCTTTGGGCGCCTAGCGCTTTTAAAAACACTAATTGTGATGTGACATTCAGAATCCAGAAGATCAAGAAGTTAATTGGTACATGTAATGTGGCATTATAGGATTTTTCTGGTGAATATACAAATGTGCCACTTGTCTGGAGCAAACATTTTATGGTTAGCATCATCTTATGTGATATAAAGTTCTAATATATGTTTGTTGTCAAACTATATTTCATGTTATATGATAATGATTTTAGACAAGCCTGTTGATTAAAAAAAAGTAGTGTCTGAAATGAAAATCTGAAAATTTTTTGATCTGCTTAAAAGAGTAAGAGAGTGTGGGTTGGGTATCATCTGCGACTCTGATCTTCTAGTTTTTTGGCTTTCCTTAATTTTTTAGCAGTTTAGACCTTATATTATCTGTTAGGGTATGCAAAAAAGCATAATCTGTTATGTTTGATTATGCCCTGATATGGCTGGCATATGTTATGTTTGTGGCAGCAGTATATCATATTATGGTACGTTGTAAAGAATATAAACTGGTACTGATGAAGGATGAGGTTGATACAATGAAGCCTTTCTAACTGTAGTTGTATGCAACCAACTGTTGCCTATGCAATGTCCTTTATTGTCACTACAGCTTCAGTCGCTGCAGTAGAAATTCTTGGAAAGCAATTATAATTTTGTTTTCATCTTTATTACATTTTGTTTTGACAATTGCTCCATTAATTGATCCACCAATCTGTTTTCTCATAGGTGGACATAAGGGTGGCACCTGGGACTCATGCAACTGAAGCTGCTGGTACTGCAATGATCTTGTTTGTGTATCTGCCTATACTGCTATCCCATTCTTCTCTTCTGTTGGTGGTTTACATTTCCGCTCCTGAAGTCGTTTAATTTCTTGTTTTCTCAGTGAATAAGCAGTTAAATGACAAAGAACGGGTAGTAGCAGCTCTGGAGAATCCTAATCTAATGTACATGATCGACAGGTGCTTAGAACCAGCCTTTTATTATTGATCTTGGTTGGGACCTCCTCCCAGAATTATGGAGACCACTGTTTGTATGTTTCTCCTGCCTTCTATCCCACCACTTTATCTTACTGCTGTTTTGAATATTTCAAGGATCTCACTTGTATAATTGTATTGATTTTGTGAACTATGATTATTTCGGAACATAAAAATTCCTGTGATCAATAAAAGCAAATAGTTTTGACATATGTTAAGGTAATTGAGAGACATGGCGCACTCACAAATTGTTTCTGTGAAAGAGCAGCACAGTGCAATCTAGGATGGCATGCATGTATGCAATCGTTGTTTGTCTATAGATTAACATGAGGAGAGTCAAATGTAAGTTTATTCTCCTATGTGGCAAAGGGTCATGATAAATGATATTTATTTTATTTCCTTTTTCATCGCATCTCTACTCTACGAAGTCAATTGAGTGTTTTTTATTTATTTATTTTTCATCGCATATGATTTCAATTGACAAATCCAAATATCTTAGCCATCCAAGAAATTGGGGAAAAAAACATTTTCTCAACTTGTGTACACAAACTAACGAAAAATGAAGCTTTTTTTTTTTCTAATATTTAATCTGTTCCTTTGTCATGTTTGATGAGAAATCCAGTGGAACAGAAAAAGAATCACCTCATCGGCACAGATAAGTGGCTCTTAGTGTTGCTAATTTTGAGGCAAACAATAACAAAGAGCGAAGAGAAAGAATATACGATTCTCCGCCGGTTCCGTCCATCTGATTGGTGTTCTTAATGCACTTAGAAATCATGATCATATTTCTTTCTAATATTTTTTAAATTAATTTTTTTTTTATATCATATTAAATCAATTCGTATGAACTCGAGCATGAGACTATAGATTATCTCAATAGAGATGGCACTGCACACGAACCTAATTCTCGACACCCTTGTTGGATTCGCAGTTAAAAGGCCAACCAAGCCAAATTTGCATTCCGAAGAAATAGGCCATTAGATCTTCATTTTTTTTGTTGATACCTAAAAGATTTTAGGTCGGAACTACAGCCTTCGGAATGCAACACACCTAAAACACAAAGTGTGAAGTCATCTGAAGCGGCAAACCAACACTCAAAATGGTAATGAGAACGGATCTGAGTGCTTGTCTCTCACATTGTCAACAATTATTTATTTCACTACTATTTAAATGTCATCGTATAGGGCCTGTTTGGTAAATCCACTACAGTAATTTGCATACTCTATACAAACAAAGTGTGCAGACGTTCTTTTTCAAGCCCAATAGTGGTAAAATAAATCCATTCAGGCATAAGATCACAGATTCTTCGTGAAGCATGGAATTTCCGATGATACCAGCTAGAAGGTAATTAGATTGCTCTTCTGTTGCTTATGCTGTTTTTCAGGATTTTGATCCTCAGAAGTGCTCCCTCCTATTTTACCGAAGATCATCTCATCAAGATCATCAAGGATGCCATCATCTCCACCTGACCTTGTTTCAGAACTTGGTGGTTTTCTGATGAGGGCATCTTCTCTGGTAGCTCGAGGAGACTCCTCAGGTTCCACAGCAACTGGTATCACTGCAGGCTCTGGTTCAGAATTCACAACAGGAGGCTTCCGCAGCTCTTCATACTTGGAGAGGATCTTCTGAAGTTCATCATTTACATTCAAGGCCTCGAAAAGCACTGCCTCATTATCACCTGCTGTCTCTATAATTCTTTGGACAGTGCGTTGACTTCGTTGGCATTGCTGAAAGAGGGTAGTCGTCAAATCATCCTGAAAGCAGACGAAGAATGATGACATTCAGAGACTAGACAAAAGTATCAACATGTCAACAGGCAGCAGAATTTGTAAATTATTATTTTTAATCCTGTATTGGTAACTATGACAATAATTTCTGAACAGCCAACCGAAAGGAATTACAAGAGAAGTCTGTTGTAGCTTAGAATCACAAAACTTATCCATAACACTTTGACCATCATTACCACTTCTAAAACTCCAGCTTCATGAAAATAATGCATAGCGTTCAGTTGACCTTTCTTTATTAGATAACTTCTTCTGTAAGTCTCCCTTCTAGTAACAAATATACTAAAATCCCTATATGCAGGATTGCTCTAGCATTTTAAGAATCAAAATTTGAAAAGATAAGGAAAAACAAATTATTTCTGTTCATATCCAAGTTTATGCCAATTTTATTAAAAAAATAAGGTCTTGATTGCATATTCTTTCTGAAAGCCCAAGCAATGATAATGCAGTATGTCCCCTAGCATGAACTCATTTGTTCTAACATGACTAATGTAAAGAAAAGGGAGGGAACCAACAACAAGGAAGGCATAATCCATGCTTGCATTAGTTGGCTCTAATATGTACAAGATGTGTTAGACAGAAACTGATTCAGTAGTGGCATGTCATGTATTAATCCTTGGATATAGCTGCAAAATCATATTCAGGTTTACTTGCCACCAGCTGCTCAAAGGATGTGTTTGAACTGACTTCTCTCAGTTCAAACATATCTGTAGAAATTCTATTCAGGCATTAATTAAAGTAACTCTAATGTTATGTTCAGTCGTAAGATGACCGGATACTAATACTATTTAACTCTTGCACAAAGGACACTAGGACAGGTAGTATGTCTATCCTTAGTATTCTAGAAAACCATATTCTTCATGTAGTTAAAAAAAGCAAGAAACAAAATAACAATATGATCACACAAATTCATACTATGGCAATGGCAGAAGGGATGAATAGCAGAAACACAGGCTCAATAATATCTACACAGTTCTATATTCACAGAACAAAATGCCCATAAGCTATCCCCCTGTTCTCATGCAATTAATTAAAAACATATGAAATCAAATTAGTTTTTATTCGCTAATTATTTTAATACTCTCATGTAATTCACCAGATCTTCCAAATCAATGGTAAAATGGTGAGCTAGAAATGTTGAAAGTTCACCATTGGACTCAACAAAATCATGTTTCAACAAGTACAACAATGCACCATAAGACAGTGCAAAAGAACATATATGAATATAAGGAAAGATCAGTTCGAGAATCATAGAGCCTTTATCATGTAGAGAGAGCAAAAGTATCGAGAAGAAATAAATTGCAAAACATAAACTAGGAGTCTAAGACGAGAGCTATATCAATCAACTTGTATTGGTAACAGCTATGTGCATAGCAGTTTGCTATTTGCTGAAACAAAGCACAGTGCCAGAAGATGTATTGCTAGTTAGATGAACAGTGGAAAGTAAAAGAAAAATAATATAGGACATATCTACTGGTTCCACTGTCCAACAGTTTAAACAAGAAAGCATGGATATTAAGGTTTTAATCACCTGTAAAGCTTCTTGATGTGGCGAAGATGATAAAATGGTGGACAGAAGTTCAATGCTGTTGCGAGCCACATCAAATGCTTCCTTTGTTTCTTCAGCAGTGAAACTATGCACATGAAAATCATTATATGTTTGCTGTTGAATAGCACTGTTATATGATTCTGTCTCTGAAACTGAACGTGGAGGAGTAAATATCGGAGCTAAGCTTTCGACATCTCTTCCAGGAAAGCGAACACCTCGAGATTTCAGGCTCTACAAGAAAAAGATAAAGCTGCTCATCAGGTAGAATATACATAAATATTGTACAATATATGTCATTAGAACAAGAGTGTGAGTAATAATCAAACATGGAAGCAAAGACGAAAATTGAAATATCGATTATTCTTTTTATAATAATAATAATTTAATTACAAGGCACAAATTAGTCCAAAGCTAAGTGGACAAGCAAGCTGGACCATGACCAAGGAAACCATAAACTTTCTCGATCTGTTTGTGGTTAAACTATAGATAGCATCCGTTGTAAGTGCTGTCCAACCGATGCGAAAAGATACCTTTTACCATTAAGCAGCATGAAGCCTACTGCTGCTACAAGTTACCAGCGAAGCTAAATTATTGCTAGATACTTACCATTAAGAGCGAGGTTCTAACAGCTAAAGAATTAAATCCACAATATATGGAAATAAAGAAGTGCAACTTCTGATGCAATACATCAATAATCTAACCTTGTAGGTTTCTTCAAAGACTGGCAAGTATCTGAGTTCCTCTCCAGATTCCCCCCATGCTTCAATCATGACAAGAGCCTTGTTCCTATTATTCACTACAGTCTGTGGATCATCAATCAACTTGACCATCTCATCTAGGACTCTCTCAGCAGCAACCTCAGAAAAAGCCTTCTCACAGTTTTTCACACAGGTCTCAAGGAGAACTAAAGCAAGATATTGGACAGTGGGATTCTTCAACATAATTCGCTTTTTGATGCCACGGATGAATTCGACGCTGTGGAACTTTTCACTGTTAATCATGTCACAGATCTCAAGGTTGGCAGACCAGTTAGGACCATCCAAGTTTTCTGAGGTGGCATCCTCGACTATTTTCTCAACTTGGTTTTGAACTTGGAAGAAGTCCTTCATCTTAGAACTCATAGAGCTCATGCCAGCCGTCATCTTGCGGCTTACCTCAGACCCGCTAATCTTCAGACGCTCGCCAAAGGCGCTGACCTTATCCATGAGGTTGTCACCCATCCCAGGATGAGAAACAGGATTCGTATAACAGAAGTCCTGTAATTCAAGAACAAAGCATTCACCTCAAAGTTCAGAGTTTCAGAAGCAGAGGATATCAAGCGTACATCATAAACCTTTTCGATATACTGAAACAACATGGACCAGAAAATAAACAAAAAAGAAAGGGAAAAACCAAAATTTATCATAGAGTTCCAATTGCTAAAGCGGATTTTTATGTCCTCGATGTAGCAAAGTACACCTGAACTCCAATAAGAAGACCACCACGAGTTGTTCGTGTAATACGAAAGATAATCTATGCTGTCGGATTGGTGCTAGGCGATCGAAGGAGTCTTTGACCTCAACGATTGAGGAACTTGACCACTAACCCCTCTTCAGCTTCAGTCATGTGAACAACTGAAGAAGATTGTATTCCGAAGCAATAATCTATGGTACTTGATGGAAAACTATCAGCTTTGATTAAAAGTGGAACAGGGATTCTTGGTCCGAACAGAGAAGAATTTGAGATCTCTGTTCCGGAACCACAAAATCAAGCAAAAACAATTACACTTATCGAGGAATCAATCGATTCGCTTAGCATCATGAACGATGCTTATACTTAGAAACAACCAACCACGGAGGGGTTGGGGTTCCCAAAGTCGATCACAAGTACGGGGAGAAGAGAGTCGCCAAGAAGATAAATAGTACCTCGGGATCAAAAGGCGATGCAAAAGATAGATGTCTTCTTCTTCTCCTTCTTCTGCTTCCGCTTCTTTGCCCTTTTGCTCTTCCGTACTTTTCTGCAAGTCCTTATTTCTCGTGCTGCCCGCTGCCTCCCCGGCCGTGGACTTCTCCTTTGACAAGTCAGGTTTGGACTTTGAATAGTACAGGATCACTTAGAAAGGGTCGAGGGATTGTAGCCGTTGGATCAAGCACGGGGCTTGCGGATGTACGGCATCGTTCGATCTCAGCATACACTTGGACGGTGGAGAGAGCCCATGACGAAAAGGAACGCGTGTTGGTTAAGTAGAAATGAAAGCGAGCAGGCTTATATTTTCTTTTATTATTTACGGAATCACCGGTACATAAGATGATTAGTGCCCTTATTCTATTTGTTGAGAATTCTATGAGATTTTAGACATTTCATTTTTATAAATTTTTAACGAAACCTAACTAATATTAACTGTATCTAATAGCGGTCGATAGAGTTTATTGAATTTGTAAGGAAAAACACCAAATTCGATATATATTTTCCTTTTTGCAAAGGAATTCTATTCCTCAGTTTAAAGTAAAAAGGAATTCTTTGACAAATAAGTCAGCAGACGTTTTCTCATATTTTTTTTAAACCGCTGTGATAAAGAAAATCTCTACCGAATATTTGAAATTTAATAGAACCCCTATTTTAAATAAAGTGCGTTATAACAAATTAATTTATCAATTGGACATTTAAGAGCAAAAAAAATCATTAATTAAATTACTTTTAATAGTTATTAGATTTTTTTATTTTCATGAACCTCCTCCTTAGGAATCATAAAACAATGAATTAAGGACGAAAATATGACTGTAAGAACAAAAAAAATGAAAAATCATATTAAGCCCCTCACCACCCATCGATGCATAGTAAATTTGTAAGGAATAACACCACATTCAAAGATATGTCGACACAGTTTCTTGTCTCGACAGTTAGTCTTCATACTAACTGTCGATCTCATCCTCAATAGAGTTCAAAAAGATCCCAGCAAGAGGCAGAATCAATGAATCAGCATAAAAGTTCTTACATACGAAAAGCGGGATTGATTGGGCTTTGGATCCCATGAGCTTTTCAGCTTCAAGATTTTATCTGCTTTCCATTGTCAACAAAAAAGAATAAATATAAATAACTTGAATTATACGAATAACAGAATACATAATTTGAGAATGATCTTCTAAAGCTTAGGACAGTCTTCAGTCAAAATAAAGAGAATCAAACAAACTCGTTAACTCTCATATTTGACTGGAAAACTAAATCTTAGTTAATAAAAAAAGAAAAAAGAAAACTAATGCATCTGACACCGGCAGGAAATGCTGTCATATCTAATTCATAGGGAAATAAGAACTAGATATGTACAGAAGGAATTTGGTCATGTTAGCATTAATACATGTCAGATATATGGATCCTTAGAATGTCTTACCCTCAATAAAAAGAATAGAGCTGGCGCTGCTTATGGACGACGTGCCTGGAAACTACTTTATACACGATCCAGCAGTTGATGCAAACCGCATTACTTGTAGAAAATATATGGCTCGTGACTCCTGCTCAATATTCTTCGTTAATGCACTATTACTTGTGTCCCAGCAGAAAAAGGCCCCGCCACCACACCACCCCCCCCCCTCTTTTAAAGGCCCTTCACCTTTTAAAGGCTGCAGAATCTGTGTGAAGCTCCATTTTACACAATCAATTGACTTAAGTAGCAGAGATACCACCAGCAGACTTGGTGCAAAAGCTTCGGAGGGCAAAATTGTTCTGTCAGCCAGAAGAGGAAACTTTAGTATTTTGTAGTCCCAAAGTATTGCACACAATGAAATTATTAAGAAAGCATGCATAGAAAATGATGAGTTTCTAAACAAGCAGACTTGCCATAAAAAGACTATATACGCTTCCATAAAATTTATAAGAGCACATGTAGTGACACGAGGGAAGTATGTTATAGATAATGAGGATGACGAACCATCAGGCAGCGTCAGAACTTTACGACTAATTCCAAAACTTGCATGATCAAATCTCTCCTTGCTTTCATACTAGGCATACAATTTTATCCAAAGAATTTCAGTTATCACACTGTATAATCAGTTAGTTGGACATCAGAGGACCATGAATGTTTGAATGGTATTTGATCTTATTTACCCACAATCTATAGGATGTCTATTGGTTGTAAAAGCATGGTATTACAAACTGGTGAATACTGGATGATACATTGTTTCTTTTCTTGTAGTCAATCTTTTAAGTAGTGTCTTTCAGACAGTTCAAACGATGGACAGTTGGAAACAATGTCAAGAAAACTAGCGGAGTTTGATTCAGCAAATTTAAGTAGATCATGAAACGACAAGTTTGAACATAGCACCCAGCATAATAGGATGCTAGTGATTTATGATGGCTGTATAGGAATTGTCCTGTTGAAACTGAAAGTGACAGGGAATATCCAAATTATCAGTGGAAAGCAGCAGGAAAGAAAAAGATGTAATTGCTTCAAGAGTAATGGAAAACAAAATCTGAACAGACTTGAATAGCTAAAAAGTTCACATGTAGCCATCTCAAGTAGTTGACTCAACAACTTGACCAAAGTTTTGTTTCAGTGCAAGTTTATTCAGGTCAAACATGTCATGATACAGAATGTGGTTAAATTTGTCGGAAGAGGAAAGAAACTCTAATTTTAGTTCAATTGACATCTTTTCCACTAGATGATGTGGAATCTGACAATACACACAACTATGCCAGCATAAACATGAAAATGTGCCTTGACAAAAACTATATAGCAGAAACAATCCATGTAATGTGGAGTCTGACGATGCAAAGAATTTTGCCAGCATAAACATGAAAATGCGCCTTCACAAAAACTATATAGCAGAAACAATCCATGTAACCACCCCCAACTCATGAAAGTCAACATGGTGTTTTCCAATTTTGCAAGCCCATTTACATTTTTCAGGTCACATGGTAATAGATAATGTACACCATTAAGAACAGTAAAGCACAACACCCCAATGGTCCAAGAGCCTATGTCTAACAATACAGCTTTCATTTGCCGTTCTATTTGTATGTTTTCTATTCTTATAACATCTTAGCAAATTGCTCATCTTCAATCTCTATGCTCATGATCAACCTTTCTAAAGAGTTTGCAGTCATTGGTTATCACAAGCTTAATGCCGATGCACTTTTCTGTTAATTCCAAATTTGATTGTAAATCTACCTTAATTCTGTGAAGAATGTTCAGCATATTCATACATATAAAAAGAAGGAACAAATGTACGAACCCTAATATCTTCACACTATTTCCACGATCCTTAAAGGAATTTTAACATCATGAGACCTACAACAATGCTATATCCAATTAGTTTTGTCATAAACAAATCAGCACTATTTCCTTCACTTTTATTGAGTGTTTCCAAGCCTGAACTTAAGCCTTTAACCCTACGAAAGAACAGGATTCTCTTCGTTTCCAGTTCACACATCCAGAATGCAACACTTCACTATTGTATGACAAATTGAAGAATCGATTTGGAGAGCAACAATACTGCCTGGCATGGACTATCGTACTGCTTGATGTGGTATTAAGCAGGTGGTATATACTGGTCCCAAAGCTGGTTAAGGTGCGGATCAGTCCGCTCCAATTTGTCACGGGCAAATCTGTACAAAGGGTGTTCGATGTAATATTTGTGCATGTTCGTGTCTTTGGGTTTTGTTTATGCTTTGCACAACATGTAGAGGGCATACAGTAGGGTTAATAGCACCATATTGGTCTGCTTTTATGGTCATTTTAATCCTGTAAACACGGATTGTGTGCAGTCGTCGAACAGTGGTAAAACTGCCCAAACACATACCATCCAGATAGTCATTTTGGAGATTTTCTAGCTCTACAGAGTGGTGCAGAGTGTCAACCAATACAGCACCATAGAGCTACTTGAGTGGCACATGGCTGCATGGGCTTTTGGAGTATTGTCAAGGGCTGGTTCGTTACATTATTCTGTAGTAGTGTCATGTGGGCTCTTGTGGAGACTTTTGATCATGATGAACCACCTTGGACCCTTTGTCACGCGACCGTTCATAGCTTACGAAATCTATATTTGTAATTTTCATTGTCTATCAAATGTTTGCTGAAATGTCTGCTTGTGGGATCCCAAGTTAAGTGCTTTCTCTGACTCGTCTTTTCTTTTGTAGATCCTTAAGGGACCATAAGACATTTCGAGAATGTTGATCCTTTATGGATGAACACGCAAGGGTACTGCATGACTTAGGCAAAACTAACTAAGTACGTGACATGGTATCAGATCTGGACAAGCACATTTAGAAACACCTGGCATGTAAACGTGAGGGACCTAACGGGACTGCGTTGAGGGCAGCTAGCATGGATGGCCGTTTAGGAAAAACGAACGTAAAAACATGGTTTGTCGTACCGAACAGTACCGCCCGGTACGGGCGGTACGTACCGGTCCGACAGACTTTCGGTACGCGGACCGCCTCTTACCGTTCCGGTACTGTAGCACTGTAGCACTGCTACAGTGCTCGGTACACCCGTACCGTACCGTACCGAGCGCAGGTCGAAACGCCGGTACGGTACGGTATGGCGAACCTTGCGTAAAAACATATAGAAAGAAGTCACTCAAAGGAACAAGCATCCGAGATTGGTATTCACAGAAATGGTTGACCCTTTACACGAGAGGTACCACGAGGACAAGCGAGTTAGGAAGAACGTGTAGTGCATAAAGGTTGTGATGGCTAAGTTCGAGCTACGACTCGATGTTGATAACCAAATTTGACGGTGCTCAAGGCAAGCGGAAGTGTTTGGCAAAGGATAAGACAGTGCAAGGAGAGATGGGTTGCTCGGCGACTGAAAAAGTTATGCAAAGCTCATAAAGGCGAGGGGAAATGCTAACTCGAAGAATTTAGTACTCATGCAAGGGCTTGTATACGGATGATGGATTGTCCGTGGCCATCCCAAAGGGACTAAAACTCGACACCATAAAACACGAAAACTTTCTCTTCGGCATGGGAAGGATACGTCTGTAAGAGACTAAAGTGTTGTAGGTTCAGTATGTTACTAGGTCTTAAGGGGCATAGTGAGAGCTGTATTGGTGAAGAGTCACAATCTACTAAGTGCATCTATGATGGCAGAACAGTGCATAATTTGTTCAGCAAGGCGGAGTAGTCTAAGAATACGATGGCCTCCGAAACTTCTAGAGGAAAGGATGCAAAGAGAAAAGTTGCTCCAATAGAACAAATATCTAAGAAAGATAAGTCTCAGTTCTCTAGAGGAAGAATCATGTGCAATGGGTCGTACGTGTTAAGGGGGATACCTCAAGACATCTCCATAATAATAAATAGATTTTAAGTGAGCGACGAGGAGTCGTAGAATAATCTCACATAAGATAATATGTTGGTGGCCAGCATTGCGAGATCAAGTGAGGGAGTGACCCTAGACAACACCAAACGAAGGTACACTTAGAGCCAATATGGAGATCAAACTCAACGAATAGCTAACCCGTAGAATGGTGGGCACTAGAACCACCATCAATTTAATACAAACTAAGGAACAGAGCAACTTGGGTGGAACTTAGTGAATTGCCCATACCGCATGAAGGGAGTCAACATAGAAGATGGAACATGGAACGGAGGCGCGAAGCTTTCCTCGGACAGAGGTCAAGGACATAAACTCTTGCAGAGGTAAAAGCGAGATCATGTCATTCCAGGGTGCCTCGTTCTAATGGAGCGAATGCATCTTGGATGGTGCCAAAGTCGAAGGGAGTTTCGAGGCACATGCACCTTATCTCGACAAAGCAATTAATGAAGAGACTAAGGAGACTCAACTTGTGAACGCAAAAAGGATGCAAAAGCGGGTACTTTTAAAGAAGATACCATAGTGCTGTCATTCAAGTTACTACAAAGGAAGCTGTGAGCAGTGGAGATTATGCTAAGGCTAGGGGTCTAGGATCCAAACAATGGTGTACAAATTTCAACAAAGTCGACGGACTTCGAAAGCTGCTCAACGACGAACTATCCTAGAGTTCGCGTTTTGTCCGTGTGTGACCCAACTCCCAAGAGCCGATGGTTGAAGATCGATTACCAAAGGAGTAAACACAATCGAAGGTAGCAGAAGCCCTACGATGTGCTGGTAAAGGCCACACATGAAGAGATCGCAATCCGAGTTTATCCTACAAAGATCATCATGCAATGGAGATGTTACCAGGAGAAGACATGGTGTAGTGGATCGTGGTGGAACGGTTCGAGGCAATGCGACACGAGATGTGAGGGACATGATCATATGTAGATATGATCGGGAGCTACTGGGAGCTCCACTTTGGTAAGCAACACGATGGTAAGAATGACTATGGATTTAAAGAGTGAATGTCATGGTACCACAAAAGGAAGGTCTTCCTTGCGTGCATCGAATTTTGCATCGGATGAAAGCCTTTTTCATCAGCATATGAGAGTTGTATACCACTAAAGGGGATTTCGGATGAAAGCCTTGTTCTAAGTCGGGATAAAATTTTGCTCTTTTTGGTAAAACTTCTTGCATTCTTGAAGTTCAATGGCAATGAGGCAAATTACAGTAGTTAACTCAACGTAAAGAGTGCAAATTCTTCGGGTGCTTCAAAGGTGTGAGCAAAGAGCAAGCAAAGACTAGTAACCAACTTGATGCATGAAGTACAACCCTCGAGAAGGCGGGCGAAATCAAATACTTTTGCCTTCTCAACTCTTAAGAGAATGGGTAAAACCAAATATCTCAATTCTCTTATTTATCCAGTAGAGGAGCTCTGCACATGTTCAAAGATCTTTCGAAAAAACTTAGTGGAAGGCGATAGTTGTCAAATCTTCACCAATAGTAATCAATTCTACCAAAAGTAGATTTTCCGCTTCATATCTCAATAGAATGTCAATCGAAAGCAAAAGTGATGCAAACCTACATGGAGGTCACAACAACGTAGAAAATGAATCAATTAACAAATTTTTCAGAGAAAGGACCTTAAAAACTTCAAAGTCTGCAAGGCGATACTCATTAAAGCTCCAATAGGCATCCATCCAGTTCAAGTGATGTGAGACGTTTAAGAGACTAACCACGTACTATCTTCTTGCATGATTTAGGAGCTTATTCTATGATGTTTTATAGGCAATTAGAAGCTTATTAATGCATGTTTAGGTATCAAATTTAATTTTTATATCAATAAATTAGGATAAAACAACCCTGAAATAGGGTTTTTAATTTCAGCTGATTTTTCAGCCAGTACCAATAGGTCTAACTAGGGACCGATAGACCTGGTCGACACGAAATGATGAACCATATCACCTAGTATGGTAGGTATGGATGGGTACTTAACGGTTTGATAGCCTAATGACACATGGAACAAGGTAAACTAGGTGGTATACAGCATGTACCACCTGAAACAGGGCCTGTAGTAGGTAGTAATTTTTTTAATTTTTTAAACTTTTTCGGAAACTCAATACGTACCAACATACTGATGCATAATATGCCGATACAGCTTAGACCCGTATTAGTCCAAGCCAGGTGATCATACCCTCCTTGCAATCATCAAACAAGTCTCTCACAAGTGCCATAAAAAGGCCAAACTTGAAAATTCTCTAAGTGCCTATGTCATGCAAATTAGAATAAATTTATCAAGAAATAAACAAAAGAATATCTTAAATTTGTCCAAGGACACTTCCTTGTAGTTATGAAAATCTTAAGCAACTAAAGCAAGGAAAAAATAATGCCTTAATGACAAGAAAACCTGCCAAAAGATTCATAACCATGGCTGTGAAAGTGAGACAATGGAGTTTGATGCATTTAGTCCTTTACATCCATATATAGCAGATTCAAGAACATTATAATGTTCAATCATGGAATCATATGCAGCCTGAGAAAAGACCTCCTTAGCCTGCAAGTCAAGAACGTAATAAAAGAATTGACATGACAAATAATATGGGTTGATGCAAAGAACTTCCAAGGAGAGAAGAAATTTGGGCACCAAATGTATATTTGACTAACATGAAAGATTCTTATTACAGGAAGGTTCAAAAACAATTAAGAATGGCTATATGGATTAGGATGTGCACATTTCAATACCAAGTAGAAACCACAAAAGTTCAAATGGAATTAGATATAGATCAAATGTCAGTACAGGAACCATAATTCATGAGAACAATTTCAAAATAACAACTAGTCAGCTTACAACCCAAATTCTTGAAATTTATTAACATTTCTAATCCTTCGGTTGTTTCAGTAGGTGAATATTCTGTTAATTCTGTAAGCAAATTCTGATCTAGAAGCTATCATTTGGTGCTATAACTCAAAATATGGCATTTCAAGGAATTACACAATAAATTAATTTTGTCGAATCCAACACTATGCTATCTAAAGAATTTTTCATCATATTCCTATTATAGCGTATCTTACATTTAGAACAAGTTTTGAAACCCAAGCAATGATACTCATTTGCAACATGGGGATCAAGGGTTTGAATCATTGAAGCAACTTCACCTATAAGGGTAAGGTGCACCAATTAACTCTCTGCAGACAACTAACAGAAGCCTCATGAACTGAGTCACACTTTTTTTATTATTTCTATATTTGCAACACTTGCCCATTAGCATATATGTGCAGTCCCATTAGTTCAAGTATCTCTAGCTACTTGAACTAATTCTAGCAATTGTCTTAACACAATGTTCAATAGTTGGAAATAAATTAATGGTACATGTTTGAAGTTCAGGTAAATTATTACAAAGTCATCATCTTCAGAACTTTTTGATGAACCTCAAGTGCAAATTGTTACACATGGATATTAACTGTCCCCATGCTTGTTTTCTATAATCAATGAAAGTTTACGTTGACTTAACACCTGAGAGATCTTTTTCAACAACAAACCTTAATAAATTGCACATCAATTGTAGTAGAAATCTAGCCACATCGCAATACAAATTAATATAAACTTTAGCTAATTTTATCATTAGGGGCATTGAAATTTGATGTTAGAACAAGCACACAACTATATCAAAAAGAACATGTAAAATCTGTAGGATAGTAAAATACAAAGATTATCACTAACCTCATCAGGGTTCTCACAACCAGCTGTGATTTCAGCGAAGTTGATTTTTGGAGCCACGGATAACCCAATTCCATGAAAAGAAATTTTTCTTCTCTCACCAATTTGCTTTTCTACCTAAAATAAATAAATGTTAGAAGATCATGATACAGTGTGCCAAGTCTAGACCACAACTCTTAAGTAAATCATACCTCTCGTGGTGGAGGCATAACCTCATAACACAGCAATGCTAGGGGATACATGTGCCCAACTACACCAGAATGGTCCAAAAGCCTCCTCATATTGTCCATTGAAGATGCATCAAATGGTGCCTGCACTCATTATTATCAGCACAAGTGATCAATTGATGAAGAAAACAAAAACAACTGGGTCCTAAAAGGAAATATCATTAAACATCAAAAAGGGAAGAAGGATTATTAGACTATCATATAAGTTGTATGAGTCATGTTAAACCTCCAGCATAGACCAAAATGAACATGCTAAACAAATTAACAATAAATATTTAATTAATCCTTGTTTTGAAGTCATTAGTCTTTCTTACAAGAAGCCTTTTTGCAGTTTGACCATGCATTAGATGGGTTTTTATGATATTCAATTCTTTGCCAAGTAACTTTTAGTCAAGTAGGACAAATATAACAACTGATACTGAGAATCTACTTGTGACCTAGTCTAGGATGAGTTAGGGATATATAACTTGAAACCCGCATGGTCATGCCTGACCTGTTGTAGCACCCCTGTAGGGATTTCTTTATTTCTAAAGGGCAGGTTGTCATCCAAAGTTTCCCAGATGCCCATATCTTGGTGGGTGAAAGACACCTCTCAAATTTGAAAAGGCTTCCACAAAGCTAGTTGTAGGAGGCTTCACATGATCCACACCTCAACAGCCTCTATGTCCCACAACAGACAAAGCTTATAGGGCAAAAAGATAGGGCATGACCATCGGATTTTCAAGAAATTGTGTCTACTTACATCATAATATAGATGAATATAAAGATTCGTAATTTCTTAGAGATCTAAATGATGAATGAATCCACAATAAAATTTAAAATGATCAATTCAAAGCGTAATTTAAACCAAGGATTGACGTAAAGCTCGAAATGGTATGATATGGTATAGGCAGTACATACCAGTCCGATAGAATACTGAGACTTGAACTGCCCTATATCAGGCGGCATATATATGGGGGGTTGTATCAGGCGATCAGCCTGCGTAATGGGTGAAACAGCCAGAATTTGATTGATACCAGCCTGTACCGAACGACAGTGGTCGGATTTCAACCAATATGGATCAACAGCTGAGATTCATCAAAATCCAATGGTCAATTTGACTGTTGGACCACTTTCAAACCCCATTTAAACCTTCACCCTCCCCCTCTTTCACTCTCACAACTTCCGAACTCTCTTTTTCACATATTCTCACTCTTATTCTCGATTAAAGCTGATCTTTGGTAATTAGAACTTCATCTTGGAGGATTAACGCATTCTAACAAGTGATTTAGAGAAGGATTGCTCTAATTCAAAGGTATGTATTCTCTTACTACTTCTTGGTTAACTTCCACATGATTAGCTCCATATTAGATCCAATATATCTAGTTAATGATGATTAGGGTCAATGACATATTTTTAGTTCTAAATTAGGGGTGATTAGACATAATCGCAGCTTGTTAATCATGTGATTAGTGGCATTAATTTGAATGAGAGTACTTTTAGAGTTTTAGCTAGCTTTTGTCATGATTAGATCCATAGATCCATAATAGCACCATTACATCAACTTATCAAGTTAATGATGATTGTGGTCAATCTCTTACTTTTGGTGCCAGATTAAGGGTATTTAGACCAAGGTTCGTCGTACCGTACCGTACCGTACCAACGTTTCGACCTGGGCTTAGTATGGTACGGTACCAGTGTACTGGGCGGTACATCAGGGCGTACCGAGCGGTACACCTTGGTGTACCGAACAATTTTATACTTTTTTCATACTGTAACATTAATTGAGTGATTAGTGACATTAATTATGTTCCAGGCATCATTAGGGACATTAGTATACTTTTAGTTAGTTTTTTATATGATTAGCTCCTTATTAGTTTCATTATATTAAATCAATGATGATTAGGGTCAATCACTTACTTTTAGTTCAAATTTGGGGGTGATTAGGACTAAACGCAACTTATCAATTGAGCGATTAGTGTTCATAATTTGAAATTAGGCACAATTAGGGTCAATCGGCTTACTTTTAGTGCCATTTTAGGGGTAAGTAGGCACCCTAAATTATTTGATTTGTTTAAATCATAAAGTTTCGACACGTCATTTAACACTTCAACTCGTATCTTTGTAGATGATTCAATATCAATGGAATAACCATTCAGAACGTGCCGTAAAGCTGCTCTTCAACGTCCAAAAAAGATAAATCCACTATCCCTTCCTCATGTTGGATAAAATTTATTGAAATTGTACCAAATTTGCATTAAGTTCTAATTAAAATGCTCTCATTTATGTTTTCTTCTATTTTCCAGGTTTTTTATATAATTTTTTAGCCTTTTTTGGATCTTTTGGCACATATCGACGTACTAACACATGGTATGCTGGTACAAACTAGTATGTACCGATCCAGCCATGGACCAACACCATCAGTCAGCACGAGACTATAGTCCTTGATTTAAACGCTAAAAATGGGCTGAATTTGCTTTAGAATTGATAGAAATATGCTGAAGATAGATAGAAATATTATGCTTTTAAGAGAAGAAAGATATACTATACTACCCATTTGAAAGCTAAAAAATTATGAAATGAATCAAAGAGCAATGGATTGAAGAGGTGAAGCACAAGTTTTCCAAGAAAACATACTGGATTCCATTCCCCTGTGAGTGGATCAGGTCGGTCCCTACCACCACTTGGTGCAATCCATATTACCTGTGATCCACTCCTATTTGGTAATTTTGAGTCAGTACACACAAAAGACAAGTAGAAAAATACAGTCAATTGGATTTTATAAGATGGACAAATAGAGATAATTATTAAATGTACCAAGCAAGATATATCTTTAAGATAAAATTCTATGCTTGAAATGTATCTCAACCTTAGAGGAAAAAGAATCTAATGACAAACTCAGTCAATGCTAAAGCTTCCAAGAAACTATCAACACATTGAGAGAAACTCAAAAGCTATACAGATTGCATATACAGCCGTCGTGCAATTCACATTAAAATTTAAAAAAAAAAGCCACTGATTTAAAAGGAAAACTGATCAAAGATTAGAAGCAGTAAGAAAACAAACATCAGATCTTAATAAACAAAATTTACCTTGATGATGGAGGTGCGAATAATGAACCAAGTAACTTGCTACCAGGAACTGTATGCAGTGCACTTTGTCTATGTGTCATGAAATGCTTAAGCCCGATAGATCATTTTAAGTCAAGTACACAAGTCTATCTTTTCTTTCCTGATGTCATACAGATAAGATACCAACCACATTGTTTACCAATTCTTTTAACAGACTATTCTCCACAACCTTTTAATAAAATCAAACTCTCATATTTGTCTCACAAACATATTAATTATGGTACCAAAAGGTCCAAAACTCTACTTTTTAATTGGTCATTCTTATAATGTTCTGGCATATATATTCAAACCAGAAGTAACAAACTCTGAAGCCAGAGAAAACATGAAAATACAGGTACAAGATATGGGCATGGGAAAATGGCAACTTTTGAAAATTTATCATACAACACTCCAATAATTTGTTAAAAATAAATCACATAAGCTTATGTACATGCATACAACTTATTATTCTTATTTTAGCTTAGAATATGGTCAATGAGGCATATAAAAATGTGACATCAAGTAATACTAACTATTTTTTGGTGAAATCAATTAATTCAATAAATTACCATAGGTTGTTACTACATTGGTTTGGGAAAGGCTGTTGCCAGTGGCACACCAACCCTACTATATAAGAGATATTGGGTTTGATTATATTAATGAGCCTAACGGGATGCAAGCGACTCATGAGGTGTCAGAAGTATAAAGACCACCTCTAATCTATCCTTATCTTTATCCAAAAGAAATAATGCTAGTAAAATGTTTCAACTTATTATAGCATGAACTCAACCATGCATGACATTTAGAGCAGCGTGTAGCACGACCCCTTGGAAAAACATTAATCTTTATCCATCATAAAATTGACAGGAAGTAAATGCATTTACTACCTGTTTCATGACAGGAAATAAACTTTTGGGTGCCTAAATAGCCATGCCATATTATCCTATACATGTGATTTCGTCAATTAATTAAGGAAAAGAAAGGGAAAGTGAGACACTAAGGAGGGCATCTCTCTCATTCTTTTTCAAAGATATCTCAGAAACTCATTCTAGAATTAATGGCTTAATAAGGTGTTCTGTAGTTCATACACTCAGATCTCTGTAACCCTGCAAATCTTTCCACTGAAGATACCGATATGTCGGCATGCCTCCTATGAGGCCCATGTATATTTCCATCCAATAAAACCATTACATTCCTTTATGTCTTTGCCTAGTGCAATCAAGAGGAACAGCTCATGCACAATAAGTTGACCAGTTGCAGCGTGCTGACATTTTCTTTGCTGCCATTGAACTTGATAGTCTCTGAAACAAGCAAAAATATGTAATAGATCTGAGGAGATCACACATCAGATTGTCAAACCAGAAGTGTCTATTAAATCAAGTAATCAAAATTTTAGGTGTCTACCAAAGACCTATTTCATATTTCAAAATATACGTGATGCAGAATTATGAAACAGGATGCCCAATAACATTATCAATCATCACCAATATCATCAGTATTATGAAATGAAACAAGAAATTGATGGATAATTCCTAATGTCTAAATTGTTCATTACCATCTTCATAACACTTGCAAATTTAGGCTGCATTCATTTCAAGTACTCTTTTATGGAGCTAGCATCTGCACGAGTTGCTTAATAAAAAGAAAGAAGCCCAACATGCAAAAGAAGGCCACATTTTGAGAACACTTAATAAGGAGAATCTTTGAAATCTTTTATTACCAAAGAATCATATATTTCGCTTCTTGTAAAGTGCATCAAAACACAAGCAAACCTCAAAAGCAAAGCCATTTCCTTTAAGCTTCGAGTATTTGCTCTCCTTTTCATTTCAATAAGCTCAGGAACATCATGCATGTGCTTCTTTGAGTATACACAAATAAGATTTCTGGCAGACAAGCAATAAATGAGTAACTCAAGTAACATTAAGAATGTTTTACAAATATTTAGTGGTGTTGAATCATAAAAGAAATCACAAGGACCTTCCCATGCTGAAGGGCTTGCAAAGTGGATCTGTAACCACCCTATCTCCTGCCACAAACGCCTGAGGTATAAAATAGAACACTTTAATAGAACTGAAAATACTTGCAACAAACAATTGGCACTATCATTAGCTTACCATTTTCTCAGCAAAATATAAATTTGTTCTTTCAAGCAACAGTGAAATGAGTGCTGGATCTGCTTCTGTCTGATGGTTGGAGAACAAAATGATGTTATGGCCCTACATAATTCAGAAGATACTTATTGATTGAATATCAAGATACCAGACAAGAAACATCTTAGAAGGAATGCCCAGAAAGTCAAAAAGGACCACTAGACCCAAAGCCAGTTTAGCAGAATCAACAGCTCATAGCAACACTAAAGAAATGGTTGTCTATTAAAGAATCTAACCGTTGGGCAGAAAAAAATGATTTGGTCATTACAGTGAAAGCAACAATTAATAGACAAATACCACTAGTAATAAAATCTATTTGCCAAACATTCTACCACAGTCCCAGCAGGAAATTAACAAAGCAATGTCATGGTCATACATATTTCTGAAGATATTTATTGATCGAATATCAAGATATCAGAGCTGACTTCCAAAGGTTTAAATTGTGATTAAATTATTTTGTTTAGACTATAGTCCATAAGCTAAGTTTTGAATTAATGATATCAAGTAATAGCTAAGTTACATGTGCTTAAGCATACTTGGAAGCGACTTATACTTGGATGTGACTTGGAAAGGTTTGATGATAAATGACCACTATAAATTATTTTCTCTTGTAAAAAACAAATTTTGAATTAATGATGTGTGATTTTCAAATACACAACCTAATTTGCATTTAAATTGTGGTAAGATGATGACTTATAGATATTCAAAATTTTGATAAGGATTCAAAGAAATTATTGGAGACACAAGGCCCTCTTGAAACTGATCTTTCACATCCATCACGAATCATGTTACCATGCACATGTCAGAAAGACAAAGGAACAACAAAGTAAGTGTTTCATAATATATCTAACATAAGGTGAGTAGCTGTAATTCAAAATGGACCAAGTGCTGCAATAAACCTAGATATACATAATAAAAGCAACACCAAGTAATTGTTTCATACTTTATAGCAAGGATCGTAATTTCGTATAACACCGGAGTTTTGAGCGTAGCTCAATACGGTACAGTACAGGTGTACCGCTCGGTATATATACATGTATATATACATATATATATAAGTTAAAAAAAAGGCGATGTCACCTCCTTTTTCTGCCCACGTGGGGAGAAGAAACCGAGGTTTCCTTCTCCCCGCACAAAAAAGGGCAACGAGACGACGTCGTGGCCTTGTCGCCTCATTTCTTCTACCCGCGTGGGGAGAAGAAACGTCTCCGCAATGATGTTGAATCTTAGATTTTGATGATGAAATAAATTGATGAAGTTATGATCTAATGAGCATTTGAATGATGCAGGACTAACTTCGATCATGGAAAGACAAATCGATTAAAACAGGAAGAATCAGACGTTGTGCCGAAGAGCATCATGTCAGAAGATTAAGAATCGGGCCGGAGGATTGGTCGACGTGCTGGAAGATAGACTTTGTGCCATGAGTTTGAGCATCGGGCCAAAAGGATCGAACATTGCGTCAGGAAGATTGGACGTTGCAAAAGGCTAACATGCCAATGGATCGGGCAACACGCCGAAAGAGAGGACGATGCGCCGAAGGATCGAACGAAGCACCGGATGAACCAATGACATGTCGGACAACATAGGATTCATGTTTGTAATCATGTGTCTTGATCGAAGTAGTTTAGGTTGTAAGTGAGTTGGTTTTGAGTGTAACCATACCAACTCAATTAAGGGTTCATTGGGCCTAAATCAGGGCTGGTTTGGGCCGAATGGAAGCCCATTCAATGACCCACAATTGGGTCAAGCGGTGGCACCGCTAGACCAAGCGGTGGAACCGCTTATGAGCTAGAACGTACGAAGTATACGTTTTCCGGAAAACCCGACGGTGGTACCGCCAATGTCAAGCAGTGATACTGCCCAGTGCAGGAGGTGGCACCGCCAGTACCCCGAAAACCCAAAGATTTGAATTTTTCGCTTCATTTTTTAAGTCATTTGGGATCTATAAATACCCCAGTTATTCTTGCTTGGGTTAGCAAGAAAAAGAGTAGAAAGGGGAAAGAATTCTTGAGGAAAAAAGAATTGTAATCTCTCTTAAATTATTCAGTCTCTTCCTCCTAGAGTTAGAAGTCTTCTAAGGGAGGAGTGAGATCTAATTGTAAAAGAGATGTGTGAAGGTTCACTCCTGAGTCTATGAAAAGATGAAATAGTTGTAACAAGGGTAGTTGATCTTCGTCCGTTGAAAGAAGATCGTTAATGAAAGTCGGTGGCCTCGACGAAAGTGGAATCAGGAGTGGACATAGGTCGCAACGATCGAACCACTATAAATTTGGTGTGCATTTCCTTTATGCTCTTCATTGCTATTGCTTTCTAATTTAATTGCTTATTACACTTATACTCTTAGTCAAGCACACTTTTGATATCAGTTTTCATCAAACGAATTTTTAAAATTACAACTTTACGAAAGCACTAATTCACACCCCCCACCTTCTTAGTGTCGTTACAATCCTAACAAACAACGCTCCGTTTGTTCTCCACGCGATGTCGCCAAGGCTTCTTCTCCTCGCGCAGATGAGGAGAAGTCACTGACAACGCCGAGGCCTCGTCGCCTTAGACGAGGAGGTGGCGACATCTCATTTGCAACGTCCAACGAGGGAGAGCGGCAACAGATCGGGATCGTCGAGGGAGAGCGGCACCGGATCTCCAAGATCTCCCTTCTCTTCTCCCTCTTCTTTCTTCTCCATCAGCTCTCCCTCAACTAATACCACCCGATAGCGGGCGATGACGATCGAAATAGATCACCACCGACCGATTTAGGGTGGTAACGGGGCGGAAGCAGCCCCAATCAACGGTAGCGAGAGGTCCGCGTACCGATCTACTGGCGAACCAGTACGTACCGCTCGGTACGGGCGGTATTATTCGAAATTAAAATCCTTGCTTTATAGTATAGATAGCATGAAGCATGTAGATGTAATTGACAAATATATGCCTAAAAGCTATACATAATATTAACCAATGTGATAAGACATACAAATATATGATAAATATTTGGTGCATAGGTGTAATTGACATATAAATGACAATTCTGTCAGGATTTTCTCCAATTCAAGAATAACAATCAGCCTCCTAAACAAGAATATGAGAGAGAAAAAGAGAAATTACTACTAATCAACCACTTCTTTGTCACGTAAAATATATAACCAATCTCAAGTGTGACATTTAGGTCTTACAAGCTCAAAGATATTGGAGTTTTCAGGAGAAAATATTATCATCCACAAATTCCTATGCAAAAAAGACTTCAGAATAAATAGACAAAGAATCAATTCATGTTTCTTCCAAGAATAAAACATTGTATGGTACCAAAAGCCTACATGATTAGCCATTACATATGATAAGACAAACAAAACTAAAATAGAAAGTATAGTAAATACATAAAAAAATTTAGCCAGGAAACAACAATAGTTGATCATTAACAATAATAAATAGTCAATGATGCTCACATACCCGCTTAAGCTTCTCTTCCATGTCAAAGAAAAGGGAGAGGTTGCCAATATATGATGTTCTGAGGATTAGAAAGAAAAGATATATTTCATCAAGCTATTGAAAAAGGAATGCAGTCTCACCACCAGAAGTTAGTCGAGAAAAATTGAATATTTGATTCACATGATTCTCAAGTTTCCAATCATGCATGCCATTACGAAGAAATAATCACCTTTTGGCACTTAAAGCTGTATAACCAACATCAATAGTTATATTCAAATTTAGTGATAACAAAAGACTATGATAACTGTTGCTTTAGATGATGAAACATCAAAAGTTATCTGAATCACTAATATAATTGGTGCTGATATCCTTTGCCAAGAAGTGTCAGGCAACAAATGGACCTGATGGCAAAAAGATCAAGGTAATTGAAAAGATTCAACAATGTTGGTTACTCAGTGAAAAGAACATTCAATCAGTGAAAAAAAAATACTCAGCAAATTTTAATAAGAGAACATGCAGACAATGACAAACAACTGTCAGAAAACAGGACCACAAACACCATTCTTGCACCAACGCTGCTTTACCCTTCAGAAACAGGAACAGCTTAAGTATCTTATTCATGCCTAATACAAAATTAGCCAAGGCCTCAACAATAGAGATTAAAAGTATATCATGCAATAATAAATTAAGTGAGACAGATACTCCCACACTAGATAGACATAAGTTGCATCTTAAAAGACAAAGCAATACTGATCTTGAACCGAATCAACTTGTCCGTGTAAATCCTTTCCAAGGAAAACCTAGTTCAAACCTGCATCAAACTTAAACTAAAATATAGAAGCTTACATCAATATCTTTTTTAATTATTGCCTAGTTTCCCAATTATACCTACAAGATACTCTCTGCTGCAGCCAACATAAAAATAAATAGGTTTGAACCAAGCAAATGAAGATGCTACAGACTTTCAAAACTGTAAGGATTAAAATCTCATACACTAGAATTGCCCTTTATTCCTTGTCACATTAAATAAGGTTGACATTAATAGCAAAATAACACACTCATATATGTATGTGCAGCTTGTATCCCTTCTAAATAATATCTTGAAGAAAACATAAACTACCATGAAGTTGACACTTGTTTCCCATCTAAATAATTTCTAAATAATATGTTGAAGATGACACTAGTGGAATTCTATGAGATAAAACATAAACTAAATGAGAAGGCATAATTAACTACCATAAGTGTTTCTTACAGACAAACTAACAAGCAAAAACCTGTCCTCCAACTAAGCCTACATTATATATGTTTTACATGAAAGATGATAATTTTGATGCCCAAATAAATACTAAACAAAGACTCATTGAGTAATATTGACCCCACAATCCAATCATAGACTAAGAACACAAGATTAATAAATTAATATAGCTTAGTGAACTAAACAAATTCACCGATCCCAATCAAGATCAGTGTTTTCAATAGGTACTCGAGCGAGGCGTGGTGAGGAGCGAGCACCTCGAAATAGGTCGAGGCAAGTCATCTCAAAGAGGCATGACTCGAGCACGCGCCTAAGCCCAGGCACTGGGTGACTCAAGTGTGCACTATTCGATTCTGAGAGTCTGGGTTCAATCAATTTGAATTAGTTGGCTCAGCCAAACCAACTAATTCAACAATTAACTCCTCCCCCTCCACTTGATCCAATGAAGGAACCCTACACTATCGCAGCGGAAAAAACCCTATATCACTATCGTTGGTTGCCCTATTCCTTCATAACCATGACCTTCCTCTACCCTATGTCATTGGTTGTCATCTTCCTTTAGCTTACATCGTTGAACGTGTGCCTTCTTCGCCCTACATCACCGTGTGCAACGTCTTACTTTAGCTTACGTCATCGACCATGAGCCTCCTCTGCCCTGTGCCGTTGCGACTTCCTTCAGCTTACATCGTCGACCACAAGCCTCTTCCACCCTACTGTCACGGACTTAGCTGGTTTTGCCTAAGTCGTGCGGCACCCTTGCGTGTCCATCCGCAAAGGTTAGCCTCCCCGAAGCCTCCCATGTCCCTTAGGACCCACAAAAGAGAGAACGGGTTAGAGAAAACGCCTCATTCGGGATCCACAAGCAAACATCTCCGAAAACACTTCATAGACAATGCAAATTACAAACAGACTTTACAAGCTCTGAACAGTTGCACAACAAAAGGGTAAAATGGTCCATTACAGACCGAAAATCTCTCGCACGTGTCCACATGACACAACCTTTATTTACAAGCCTAAAGAGGCCACCAACCCAACTAAAATGGGACTATTAAGCATTCGGTCGTCCCTCTACATGTTGCACAATGCATGAACATACCAAAAGACACGAACATACATAAGCATTACATCAAACATCCTGTTTAGAAGTTTGTCCGTGACACTACGTCATCGTGTGCAGTTTCATTTCTCCACTGTATGCTGCTTATGTCGTAGACCAACTTTGTTCCATTGCTAGTAGCCACCTTCCTTAGCCCTAACAACCACCGTAGTCACGTGAACCCTTCTAAAGTCGGAGAACCCAACATTACTCCATTGTGCATTGCTGCCTTCCTTGATGCCATGCTCCATAGACTTTCGCCAATTGGTTACTTCTCCATCTCCTCATCTTTCTTAGTTTATGCATTAGTTAAATGATCTCCAAGTTCTTACACCATCTTGAGCACTTCGTTTAATGATCTCCTACTTAACTTTGTTAAATTGTTAGGAACTTATGAACAATGTTAGGTGGGTACACTGTTAGGAGTTAGGATATAACAATACATTGTTAGGTAGATAAGAGGAAACACTGCAACTTTGATGAACAAGAGGAATATAAATCAGCTAAAGAGGAAGATGATGATAAGTTTGAGAACGATGAAATTGATATTGATGATCATTGAAGTTAATCTCATTTTATTTTGTCATTTTTTTATTATATTTGGACAATGCAATTAGTACTTTAAATGAATGCAATTTGATGTGTTATTTTTTTTATTTTTGTGATCATATTTATCAATCATGATATATATTTTTTAAATTTTAATATTAAGGAGCACCTAATTTCGCTCGAGCAAGCGCCTAGAGCTTTTGAAAACCCTGATTAGGATATAATTTTGAGCAAATGTTCAAAAACACATGGGGCATTTAACATACCTCATGTGAAAGAGAAGATTGAATAGAAGATAAGCAAAATGAATCTTAAAGCACCTGAAATCTATCAATGGCCGGAGATAATTTTGACCAAACATGTAGTAGTCAAAAGGCTCTCGTATTGCCTTATGACAAGGCAAAAAGCTAAAAGGATCCTGCAAGATATACAGAGCTATCAAACTATTTATGAAGAACATTAACAACATACATATTTTAAATAACAGTCTAAGAACAATAAAGGTGCATGCCAAGACCTCAACATCCAAAAGAACACGATCAAATGCAACAGCCATATTGGAAAGTATGATCTCCTTTGCACTTGGATCTCCACTTTGCATGACCTGAAATTAAAAATTCACACATTTTCATGTAGTTTCCTTTCTGAGACGATGGGCAGTGTACCAACCAAGAACATAGGGAAAAAAACACATTATTCCTATGAACAGCAACAAAATGAAAAAGAACAGTCATCAACTCATTTATATATAAGTATCCAACTTGTTCAACTACAATTACTCCAAAATGAGAGTCCTCTGCCTTTCAGAGGAATTTCTCTATTTTAGAGATGAACTTACAGCATTCCGGTAATTATAATAGAGTTCTTCCAGTCTAGTCGCAATTTCTGAAGAAAGTTTTCCAGCTTCAACTTCCCTCCTTATACAAAAAAGAAGCTCTGCAGATAAAATTGGATGAAAAAAGCCAAAGTCAAGATAATACTTCTTGTGCTCCTTTTGAGCAGATCATTGACATCATACCATGGGGTAACACAAACGTAGACCAAAAATTGTCGGCCATTGCTGGGTTAAATGTTTGCTGAATTTAAAGCTTCCACTAAGCAGAGACAAATTTTCATGTCAATTACTTAGTAAAAGAATGTGACAAACAATTTTTTTAACATAATAACAGGCTAGAGATGCAACTTAACTAGGCATCTTTTTGTCCATGGGCAATTGAATAAAATCCTCAAAGTAACTTTGTCAAATCCGCAAGGATGTAAATTTGGCATGCTACAGGTGGTATTCCGAGAAGTGCTTGCTGCGTATGGGACACTGAAAGAAAGGTGAGAAGGTACGAAAACTTACTCTTGATTTGGGAAGTTTATACCATCATGCATATCATATCACCAAAAGCGTAAGATGGACAATGTGTAGTACCAAATTGTGCCAACCAAAATATAACGCGGAGAAATGGTATTGTTGAACAAAAATAGCAAACATAGTATTACCGTAAGATCACCTAAGAATCTTTAAAGCTTCTCAAATGTAATGTCGAAACACGAACAACCAAAGCAAACGTCACCGGAAAAGAAAGAAAAACATCCAAGAAAGGAGCAAAGAAATCAGTAACAGGTCGCACCTTCTCCATTCCGTGCCCTAAGAAAACACCTGGAATAGCCAACCTCCTCCTCCGCCCCCATATCCCAGGCAAGAACCGCCCTTCTGGTCACGCTCCCGCAACCCCTCCCAACCGGCCGAACCACCGCGCTAGCCTTCGGGCCACGGATCTCCCGCTCCCGTCTTGACGGATCCCAACAATTCAACCAAATGCTGCTCCCCGAACTCGAATCACCAGCAGAACGACGAGCAATCGGCAGTCTACATCCCGCGGAACATCCAGTAGTCCGGGGGAGAGCGGAAAACATCGTGACTACAGCCGTCGTCGTCCAATAGCTCGATGAAGCAACAGAAGAAATCATCTGCGGTCAGAAAAATTGCTTCGAAGCCTCCTCCGTGCTCGCAGCCGATCCCTCTAGCTTTCTCTTCGCGGAGCGTTCAGTGAAGGAGAGAAGAAGGGGGGAGAACGGAGAGATTAGAACGAACGGAGCCCTTTATAGTCGGGCTAACGAGTATATTTATTCGTCGATCGCGAGTAGGGATTTAAATAGTATTCAAAAAACGAAAACTAATTTGCAAGGAGGAGCGAACTAGAGCTCCTGGCCGTTGACGAAATTTTCTTTTCCTCATCAGTTGAAGCTGCCCAAAATATACCCGCCTCGCAACTGGCCAGAAAAAAGACGGGGAACTGGTGCAACGTCAACCTCGCAGTGGGTTCTGTTTGAACTGCTGTGCAATGCTCCGGACCGTCTGATCATTTGATTAAGTTGGAATTGGTGGCATATAAAAACAAACGTAAATAAAAATATTGCTGCCAACTACTGAAAAAATATATTAGAAATAAAAATAAAAAATAATGATGCGACGAATGGTTTGGTGAACGAATACGAATTAAGAAAGCATTTTTTATCATCAGAATTGTTGCGTCGAAATATATTAGTAGCAACGTTCACGATAGAAAAATAAATTTTTAAAAACATATTTAATGCACTAGGCTTCTGTTAATGTAAAATTTAAAAAGAATCAATGTATATAATTTTATCTTTAAATATTTACTAAATAAAGATATATTCAATGCACAAGACTTATCTCCTAGAAATATGAGAAGAATCAATATACATAATCTTATCTTTAAATATTTAAAAAATATTTTCGTAATTCAGATCGAAACAATTTTACCATTGTACCCTGATCTCTTAGAGATAAACTATCGCATATTAATATGCTACATAATAATTAATTAAACAAAATATGAGAAAAGTCAACGGATATAATTTTATTTTTAAATATTTAAAGAAATTATTTTCGTAATTCGAATTCTGATCTTTCAAATTGTAAAGAAACAATTTTACTGTTGTACCCTGATCTCCCAGAAATAAACTATCGTATGTTAATATTCTACATAATGATCAATTCAACAAAGATCCCATAAGAATGGATTCTGTATAATCCACATGATGACGAAAACGAACCTGACTCATTAAGAGCAAGCAACATATGACTCTCTCTGTCGTACATTCAAAAGATAGAAAGTCCAAGTAACCGGGACAAAGACATTACGAACATCTCTAGACGCTAAATACTACTAGTATTAGTAGCTCTCCGTGTTGACATCATACGACTAGAACTGTTATCTTCCACCCAAGACGTCATAAAAGTTAAGATTCTATTGTGATGCTTTTCGCCTTGATTGCTCCGGCAGGTACCTATTTAACACATAAGATTATTGTCAATCGTAGTTAGTTCAGGTACTAATGGAAGAAATTAAGCAAGATATATCTGGTTCACAGACATCCAGCAAAATTTAGTCTGGCTATTTAGAAAAAAGTCAATGTGTAATATAAATCTAACTTAATTGTATATGTTCGAAAGATACGTGTAAATGTTTGAGAGGTAGACAGTGAAAACCAGAACAAGAATGCAGGGTTGTAATGTCTGGTGAACAAAATAGAAATCTTGCCTGCCAGAATGGAATCCTGCAGAATACCATGCACTTAGGACAACAGCAAGATCAGTCTCCTGGCTGATGACTCCTGATACCTTGAATTCATCTTCACCGGAAATTTCTCCTTTATCCTTCATGTTCTCCTTCTCTACAGTCATAATAGGAACCAAGTTGCAAGCATTACATCCAAGAAAAAAATGTTTAGGTTGTAGAACAAAATATTCAGTCTATAAGAGTTCTTACAAAGTATACCAATCATAAATCTGTGGCAAATAGAAGCTGAAAATAATAATGGAAGGCTATAATAAAGATGAATACTGGAGAACAGAACCTTCAGGTAGTATTTTTTATGTATATCCACAATCATCTGGCACTAATTATCCAAGTTGGAGCATATGGTACATTACATTATATTTGATGCTCATCATCCATAATGAAGTGAAATGATCATCTCGCTTCCAAAATTATGCCAGATTATAATTGAACATCATTGAGCTCACCTCTTTAGAGAGACTATGGTAAGAGAAACAAGTGATAATTTCAATCAGTAAGGATGCCAATTGTAAGTTTCTTGTGATGATCAAAAGCTCTACTATATGTAGGACTATTATGCATGAAAAGGGTATTTACACATGCCCCCAGCCCATTTAGTTGAAAATTAAACCATAAGATGCCAATGATAGCACTTCTGTTTGATGAGCATAAGAATTAGGTGAAAATAACAACAACATCTATCCTCACCCTAACATCTACCCCCACCCAAGAAAGAGAAGAAAGAGGCTCTACTTGCTCTACAGTTCCGCAACAAGAACTCCTTTTTTAATAATGAAAGAGTGATTTGAGAATTGCTAGGGTCCTAAGAATCATGTAAACACAAAAGCCTGATCCTTTTCCTTCATCATTCTATTAGGTCCTTGAGGAAAGATACTGACACTAGTACCAAGGTGGCATGACCGCCTCGAATACTTCCATTCTCATCCTCACACTTCTTTTATGAACCAATGACAATGAGTTACAATGAGAAGGAAAAAAAAAGATTGAGAATACATCAGAGAGCTCAAGGTATTATTATTAAAATATCCAATCACTCTATAAAAAAAGAATTCCACAGCAAGGTAACAACTTTTGCATTATATGGTACTATCACTAAATTATCCAGTAATCTAAAAAGGGATGGCCTAGTGCATGAGTTTCCCACTAATATATATGGTCGTAGGAGGATATATACAAAATATTGTTGAGGTTGTTCTCGTGACTTGAACAACTCTTAAAGGAGCAACTTTATCATGGAAACAAACTTATTCTCTACTAAAATATCTAGCAATCACTTAAAAAGTTCATTACAGTCTAAATTCACTAAATTATCCAGTAATCTAAAAAGGGATGGGCTAGTGCATGACTTTCCCACCAATATATATGGTCTTAGGAAGGTATGTACAAAATCTTGTTGAGGCTGTTCTCACAACTCAAAGAACTCTTAAAGGAGCAACTTTATCGAGGAAACAAACTAATTTTCTACTAAAATATCTAGCAATCACTAAAAAGTTCATTACAGTCTAAATTCATTTGTTTTGGTTTTAAAATTATCATGACAATGGGGGATGAAGCAATTGGTCACCGTTCTCCCATCATGATTCATGAGAATGTCTATATCAATGCACTGCATAGTACTGCATTCCCATTTTACTTCTGAAAGACGTTCCTTTGGTTCATTTGGCTATTGGAATTCACGATTTTACTTCTTTTGACTATTCATGACACAGAAACAGTACATCTTTCATTCTAAAAGAAGAAAGAGATCACAAGAGTCAGGTGCACTTCATATGTCAATATCTAATCTCAATGGTCATCTCTCTCTCACTTTTTTATCAGTGTCCATTGCACGATAAAGCACAGAAGGATGACCCCTATAAAGGTCAAGTTTGATAATGTCCAACTACTTTTTTACTTTCTCATCATCCATAGTTCATACTTCATAGTTAACTCATAAGGCAACAGTAACACAGCAAGCAGAGGGACCTGATACATGATTCTTGAATGCAGCAGTAGAATCCAAAAGTTCACTTACGTCACTAGAACAACATTGTCACTTTTGTAGATGTACATCTATACATGAACAAAAGGTTTTAACGGTTACAAAAACTTCCCAAACAAAAAATAAGTACAAAAACATGTTATCAGATTTGCAAAAAGAATCGTATGACCCATCTGTAGTGAATAAGAAGAAAGTAATCAATTACATTTTTGTTCAAATAGTCCAAAGTCACCACAAAGCGTCCAAGTTGAGTGCATGTTTGTACATGAACTAAAAGAATCAGATAGTGTTTCAGAAAACAATTTTATAGTGTGCAGTGTGCACCATGAAAGAGGTTGCGTTTGGAAACACATTTGCATTTTTAATGTACAATTGGAGAAGAGACTTGAGTGAATATGTAGTTATAGAAGACCTTAAGTACTTGGTAAACAATAGATAAAAACTGCATTTTGAATATGCATTGACATAAGTGTTGTTTGGTAAAATTGTATTTCAAAAGTTCATTGAATATTTTATGACAAATTTACCCTTCTAATATTTGTAATATTTATTCCAAAATGAATATATTTTGTATTTAAATTAATAATTAAATAAAGAAATGTAATCTTATAAAAAAATTTGTATGACCCAAATATATAAAAAATAAAAATATAATCATATAAACAAATTTTAAAAAAATTTAAAAATAAATAAATAGAATTTTATCTTATAGAAATATATATCATGTTGGTTTTTCACTAAATCATTTAGACAATCTTATAATTTTAGATAAAATCAAAAAGTATTTTCGAAATCTGAAAAATTATATTAGCATCCCGCAAATGCTGAAATCCTAATACTACCCTAAGATAGTATCAACATTTGAGCATTTCCAATGCAACATCCAGGTTAGATGCAATTTCAAAAAAATTAACCAAACACCAATTCACGTTTGAAATGTACATTGAGCCCTCAATGCACATCTCTTTAAACGTGTTCCCATACGCACCCAGAATCAAAACATCTTAGATGCATTCACCCTGAATACTAAAATTTCAATGAAGCAATAAAATCTCAACTGCAACCACTTCCACATTTCATAACCTATTCGACTTAAATATTCTGGTCACTTGTCTCTAAGAGGAACATTTGTAGGAATATGCATATGCCAACCATGTACTTCAAAGGGACCAGTCCTTATTCGTTGTGAATAATATCATAGACATATCAATATTGGGCAAGCAGATTGTATCATAAGCTTGCATTGACCAAAATGATTAAGGATGAATAAAGATAAGGCATGTCAAAAGAAAAGCTGCAAGAAAAGAAAGGATACTTAACAAGAAAAGTCATTTATTATATATAGGGCAACATGAGATGACTTAATTAAACCCTAAATACTATACTAAATAATAGTATCTCATCATAAAGTTGAAACCGCATAAATAGGCCAGCATAGTCCCAAAATATGTGTGCCTACCTTGACAGATATTAGAATCCACGGATATTTCTTTTTTCAATGAACTTAATGCTTTTTCAGCAGCCATCATCCCTATTCTGACAGCTGGATCATCTGTATTTGTAGTCTGCTTTGATGGATCTACTGTGAGTGATCCTCCAAGAGAACAAATACCACTTTGAACATGATCTTGACAACCTTAGGCACATAGCAAGGAATGATAACCACATAGCAAAAAGAAAAGCTAGATTTACAGGAACAAGGATAACTGCTCTTGTGAAAGAAACAATGTGTCACCTGAAAAATGATGCAGAACAGATGTAGAGCAGCTTTGTGGACAACAATAATAGCCTCTAAATGAAGGACCACAAATGGCACAAGCAGAAGCTGGGATCAATGAAGCAGATAAAGAATGGCATGAGCACAAGGAACATGGAGGTTGTGAACAACTTTCAGAAGCATTATTTCCAGGAAATTTCTCTGCCTGATATTCTCCGGATTGAACTGGGGTTTGGTAATTCCAATAATTTGCTTGCTGGAGTTGCTGAAGAACCTTTTGCCTCTCCTCCTCGAGTTCATAATACTGTTTAAGGAGATGATTGTACTCAATACTTTGCTCATCATTATGGTAATCGATTTCTGTAGTAGATACAGGGAAGTCCGATGAGTTAATTTCCGTGGCACGTATATTCACACCTAGACTGTCTTCTTCTAACTGATGGCCTTCAGTAGATGATACATACTTGTAGTAAGGCATATTAGTCTCTGTTACATCTTTTAGAACATTATTCTCACCAATGCCATGCTCGATTTGCCTTCAAAAGGAGAACAAAATAGAGAAAAGTTAGGAACTTCAAAACCCACCAATCATATGAAGAGTATAGGCAAAATGAATATAACTACTACAACTTTAAAGATTGCAAAGAAATAGCTTCAAGATTTGCCTAATATACTTTAACAAATGTTCATCATATGGACCTTAAAATGCATTATAATAAAAAAAGGGTAGGAGAGAAGCTTAAGAGCAGAAATGATCCTTGATAATCTTTCAACACTTCTGCAGCATAAAATCATTGGATAAAATGTACATCTCATAATTGGTTTCAGGCCCTCAGTAGAAGATACTTTTCAACATCAATACTCGAAGGAACAAGAGGCAAGAGATAGGATGGGTGTTCCATGATCAAATACTATCCTCCATTTGAAGGAATATAATAATTGTCTTCAACTTAAGTTTCTAAGACATGAATATACTAGTGCCATTACATACATTAATTTTGCATAATAAGGATATGGCTAATAAATTTTCTAATGTGCAGAAGAAAATTCAATCATATATAAGTCTTCGAATATCTGAAGATAAGCAGAACTACCTCCTGTTACCCCATAAACTATATAAATAAATAAATAGATAGACAAATAAATAAATAAATAACACTACCTTTTCAAATTCTCACAATGAACAGGCTCATCTTGAGCACTTTCACCTATATGTTTTTCTTCCCCCAGAGGATTGGCTGGATAGCTTTCCCTGTGCACTGCCTGACAGAGTGCCATAATTATCAGAAATATATATTACACAAAATTTCCTTCTTGAAAAGTAAAGAAAAACCTAACGAAGGTCAAAATCAAGGAGATGCTCGAAATTCATGAAAATGCAGAACATAAGCATTAAACTTCTTATTGTCAGTCTATCTGCAGTTAGAAACAGGAAAAAGTGCAAACAAAGTCTGAATAACATGATTTAGACAGTAAAATTAAGAAATACAGATCAATAGGGAAAAACACATCTGGAGCTTCTCAAAGCAAGCAAGACCTATTATGCAATAATAACCTAATTTTATGGTGAGCAGGTAAAATCAGGAACAACATTTGTTGCAAAGGATGGGAACAAATCGACTAAGTTGTATTAACAAGCATAAAACAACATCTAGAGCAGAATATAGAATCCAGGAAGCAATTTGGTGGCACTATTTAAGAAAGAAAGTGATAATAAAAAACAAGAATTAAATCTGATTTACATTTTTCTATTACACTGGCACCAAGACCCAAGTTCTCTTGCTAAGGCTCTCTCGATTGCTCTGAACGTAAGTTTTACCTACTGGGCCATTCTAAGCAAGAAAGAAGCACATCTACCATGCTAAGATGTGTCTAATACTAATTCTGGAACATACACTTACATTTTCTCATACTTAGAATCTGCAAATTTCCCATTCCAAGAAACCTCTGCAGCTTTGAACACGATATAATCAACACAGCAATTTATCAGTATATATTTGAAGGAGATGGGTGAGATGAAGATAATAATCCATGGAGTTGAATCCTAATAGTAATATTTATCTACGTAAAAATCTAATAAAGATCGCGAAGTAAACGCATCAACTGACCTACAAAACTACACCGCAAGAGAAAACTATTCATGGAAGGGAAAAGGAACACCCCAACGATCGAAGATAAAAGGAGGAGAAGGAAGAAGGGACTGGAGCCAGAAAAGCGGACCTTGTAGGTGGCCATGGCGTGATCAAAAGCATCGATGAGAGCGGAGTCATCCCAAAGATCAGTTCCTTTCCCCATCCTCTCCCTTCTTCGCCGGTCTTCTCTCTGCTCGAAAGAATGCCCCAGTGAACTGGAGATTTATGTAGACGCCTCCACCACCCTAAGCGTATTGTTTTGGACGCGGCTATCATCTTAGGCCCAGGGCTATTCAAATAGCTCGATGGTGGATGACCCGCGTCCGTGCTTGTGTTTGACTTAAGTTTAGCTCGTTCGAGATTGGACTCGATGAATCATACTAATTGCTTTTATCGATCGTACTTCACTCGATTTCGGAGGTATAAATAATATATATATATAATCAAATATTAGATCTAGTGGACAAAATTTTAAATTTTAAATTTTAAATATTAAATTATCAAACATTCAGTCATATTTCTAATGTATTAAAGAGTCCAGCATCTGCATGCATGTCTTATTCCTCTTTTGTTACAAGAAGATATGATCTTAAAATAAGAACATCAAATAATAAAACATCCACATCTATGGCATATTCAATTTAATCGATCATTTCCATTTTTTTATTTTTTTCACTTTATAACAATACTCCTTACGATATTTTAATTATTAGGTGTCTTCTCGACGCCACGTCATATACGTCCTCTGTTCCTCGTGTCTCCTCGAAGCCACATCATACGAGTCAAATCCTGCGCACTCGGCCAGTCGTACTCCAACGGATTTCGATTCCCTCCCTAGAATCAGAAACCACCCCGTTCCGTCGCAGCGAACGACCCACAAAATATCGGACCCCATCAACGGTCGTAATTTGATCTGGAATCTACAGGCTCGTTTCTGGTCGTTGGATGATGTAGTCTTTCCTCCTTTTTTTACCTCCGGTCGCAAGCAAGCGAGGTATCGTCGGCCGTTGTCCGTTGCTTGTAACCGCCCGCCCTTCGGCCGGCCACGCTGTCGCTTTACTTGCTCTTACTCCGGGAAGATCGAGGAAGGGTGGGAACCTTTCTGGCGGAGATGTGCTCCTTTTTTCCTCGGTAAGTCGATTGTTCTCTCCGATCCTGATGTTTTTTTGTTCTTTGGCTTGTTTCTACAGTGCGATCGTCGTTGTTCCTTCTTATTTTTCTAAATTTTTGTGTTCTGTTGAGTAGTATTATTGTTCCAGATGACTTTTGTTGTCTTTTGTCTGCGTTCGGCGGTGATTCTTGTGAAAATAGAATCTGATCTTGCGGCAGTGGGGTGAAATTGAGTGGTTGAGCAGTGCTATTTGTTGTTTGATCTTGTGACAAAGATGATTAATTGTTTGTTCTTATTTTGGTTGGTCCATGAAATTCTCAGTTTCAGGGTGTTAATTGAACTTGATGATATTTTCTTGATATCAAGAGAGCTTAAGAACCGATGACACCAATCCACAACTGCCCTAAGATATGTATCCTTGAAAATTTTGCATTGTCATTCTGGAATCTTAGTGGACGCAACAAAAAACACGAACGGTCCTTTTTCCTCGCCATAGGAAATCGAAAGGTTCACAAACCAATTAGTCTTCTTTGAACACAAAAATTTTGCTAGTCCACAAACATCACCGGCTGTGCCTTTGCCCGGCACCTGGTTCCTCTCTTTATCTTTGAGAAGTTCTGGATTCAATATTTCTAAGAAGATATTATAGTGGTTAAGACGAATTGTGTGCAGTCATGAGGTCGATCAAATATTGAAAAAATAATAATAATAATAATCCCAGCGTGGTGGTGCTACTCTAACGCTATTCACCCCCCAAAATACTTTTCTTAAAGATATAAAAGATTACAAACAAGGGATCTGACTGCAGCTTTTGGATTGATTACAGACAAATTCTGATGGGATCCTTATGGTCGTCGCCAGGCCATTCGTGGTTACTCTCACTTTTCTTAGCGCAGTAGTTATTTGCATTCCATCCGGTCTGCCATGGCCTTAGAAAATACAGCAGAAATCATCGGCACAACAGAGCAATGCTTGCCAAAGGAAAGTGCAGTTCAGTTTATAAACCCTCTTCAGATGCACCACTGTTGGGCTCAAAAGTCCCATCAACATTAATTTTGATCCAATCAATCGGAGTCGGGCCCTTTAAATGAGTGTTGTTAGCTATACTCTGACGAGATATTCCGTTACGTGAATTTGGTGGTCTTCATGGGGACAAGCCCCTTGAAAAGAATTAGTCAATGGTTGATGTATGCTTCTTGGAGAAAATGGAGTGATGGTTACAAAGGTATTGGCAAAAGTGAAAAAAATCATGCACACTCTGAAGAGCAAGAGAGAACCTGATGCAATTTTAACTAATTTTGGCCATGGCATTGTAGCACATCCAAATAATGCAAACAAATTTTCTCCAGGGGATTGGGACTTGATGCATTGTGAAACTAACTTCAACTGCAGTTTTCAGAGCCAGGTTCTCAATAAATATCACAATTTCACAAAAAGTGGGTTGCCTGGTCAAGTGCTATCTTACGAGGAAGGTGTATGAAAAGATTTTCTTCAATATCATTAATTTGGTCCAGGAAGATTTCTGGCTAAAGGAGTTACTGAAGTAGACGTTCAGAATTAGCAATTTTTGTTTAAATTTATTCCCATGGTTCACATCAATTTGTAAACAGGATTACACAAACCAATTTCTTGGATTGATGCAGATAGCAAATGTTTCTTCCCAGGAGTTTGTTTTGAACATTATGAATTAAACAGGTACTACCATTTTTGCAAAGGTAAACAAATACACATGATTCTTGATCCAAATGTGAAACATGATATTGATGCCCATATTGAGATATCTGTTAATGCAGCTGAAAGCTAATGTTCACGACCTGATAATGGGGATGCGTCTAATGTCAAGATGGTCAAGAGCGAAGAAAATTCTGTCATTATGAGAATAATTGTGCCGAAGGCAATGAAACTGTCGCAGAGAATGATCCATGTTCATTCCTTACTTCCGATATCTCTGCTTGAGGAACTTGGCAAGAAAAGTTGTTAAGGCCTGCTAGTTATCAGTGATTCAACAGTGCTCTGCAGGACATGTTGCTGCATGGTTTAATTAAAGTTATTGATGTTGAGGACATCATTCAAATTCTTAAAACTCCAGTGAATGGTGACTCGGGTTTGGTTCGATTTAACCTTTTCCAAGAGCTGGTTGCAATCGCTGAAAAAGTTGTGGCAACGCGAGTGTCCTTGTGCCTGGCTTGCTTCCTCCAAAAACGCTGTGGAAGAGATGATGTTGTAGGAGTTCTTGAAGAAACCTGTGTTTGGTATTGGCATTCATCTTGCACCAGCAAATTGCTCTAATATATGGTGACATTTTATTTCAACCTTATGATAAGTACCTTTTGGCAATAACTTGAAGACCCTAATTTCTTGTTCTAGAAGACTGCAAACAGCTTCTATTTTAGATTTCAGGGTTCCTGTTAATCATGCACTATTCTGTTTTTTTCTTTTTGTTGCCAATGATCTATGTTGAAGAGATGCACATATATTAACCTTAGTGCTAGATATTCTGATGTCGATTCAAATGATATTATCCATATGATTTTGCACCTTCTTAGTATGGGAAGCATGGAGTTGATTTCTTCTGGATTTAAGCAGTGTCAGCCCAGCCATGAAAATAAAGCATTCCATGGAAATTTTGAATTTCTATGCTTGAATCTGATCTTTTGGTGTATGCATAAGTTGCAATAGCATATGCCAATCTAACATTTTGAGATCTTCATTGCTCATTCTTAATGATATATTTTGGTCCTGCTGGCTCTTATGAACTTCCTGCTAGTTCTGATCCATTACAATCCTTTATGGTAGGTAGGCATTAGGTTTTGCTTACTGCATGCACTGTTGAGAGTGGTTATATACATATTTTTTCATTTATGTAGCATCTTTCTATCAAAGGTGTTCCGTTTATTCGTCGGCTATGAACAAGCTCAGTGGGATATTTTAAAAGCTTATGTTGTTGAATTCAAAATTTTGAACTTTTGTTGCGAGTACTTAACCTTTGCTGCTATCTTGACTGCCTTGTTCACTAAGAGGTTTTGGTTGCATGTATATCTCTGACAAGCAACTTGATGATCAATATGAAGCTCATGATTTCTATTTATCAAACAAGATTATAGTTCTGAAAGTCATAAGGTGATTGGGGCATCAAATGTGTTTGCCAATTCTGTCCCATATCTGGCTTGATTTGCATGAACGAACTGAGATATCTCCCACTTTATTCGCACATGTTTGTGTTAGAAGTAAGCATCACTTCCTATATCTGAGAACTCTTTTGCATATGGTGTAATGTTTATACACTTCACGTGTCCTTGTGCCTCTCATTTATTTTCCTAACGGAGTGATTGCTGATCAAGTAGCAGTCTCTTCCCTCCTAACATCTTGGTTTGTTCTTTTTTAATCTTTCTTATGTTGCTACCCTATTGTTTCCTTATATTTGCTAGATAAAAGCACAAATTGGTTCCTATATTTTAGACCTAAGAGGCATCTGCTATGTATAATTTGCTTCCTTGTTTTAATAATAAAAATTCACCAACTAGCAAGATTTGCAGATGGCTCCAGTGGCAGCCTACCTTTTTTTTTTAAGTTTCCATGATCAATTTCTCTTCTTCTAATAATTTGCATCCTTTTTGTCACATCTTTGCTGTCTCACAGGCCTTCTCTGGAATTTTATCTCAGCTGGGAAGACCAACAGGGTAAATTATTAGGCAGTACTATGGATGTGGCGAAATTATGGCATTGTACGCTGTATGCTGACTCCTATTTTTGGCAAGATAAAACAAGCATAGATATTTATAAATATTTAATAATTTTTTCACTGATTATCACCCAAATCTCGAAAGAGCAAGGAAATTTATATTCATGTTATTTATGTGTTTTGATGCATCTGTTATTAATTGTAGGCAGTGGCTGTATCATGCAGTTGCCACCTGTGGCGAGAAATCAACCTCCAAAATCGTGGTCTAAGAACCTGCAGAACGAGGATTGATGTGGTGAAGGCACCTCCTCAGCTTACAGGACGCTTGCAACGTTCATACAATGGCTGATGAACTTGGTTAATTGCAGGTACGGGTAAATTTACTGGTTATTATCTTGATGATGTTAGAAACCCTCAATAGGTTATATGATTTAGGAAAATAGTTCATACCCTGTGTAGAAATGTTAGTTAATTTTTGCTTTCTTACTTAGAAGTGTCTGTTTGTTGTTGGCACCTGGGAACGGTATTACAATAGTACGCTTGTTTGCCGGTTAGTATATGCTATCCATCAGAAATTGAGAGTTCAGTAGTTGTTCCGCTTGGAGTCTAATGAGAACAGGGAGGCATAACTTGGAGTTGATTGAGTTGGACAACTAGATAGCAAGGATGCAAACTCTATCAGTCTGCATCTAACCACACATGTAATGTTATGATTGCTTAAATATTTTTTATTCCGTAATAAAATCGAGATTGCTGGGAGGATTACTATGGAAAACAGAATACTTATATATATATATATATATATATATATATATATATATATATAGAGAGAGAGAGAGAGAGAGAGAGAGAGAGAGAGAGAGAGAAGAAAATATTAATAATTAAGGTTTGTTGCTATGTAAAAATCCTATGCTTGTCAAGATTTTGGTACCAGGATGGTGTCAGAAAAAAGGACAATTTTAAGTGCTTATAAGATTTTCTCTAGTAAATTTACAGCCATCGAAAGAAAGTTCTCTTATATTTAAGTGAAGGAATATACAAGAAATATTTTGGTTGATTCAAGATATATTTTTCCTAGTATTGAAGAATTTGGATTTTTATTGGTTGAATGTCCAACCACATGAATCTAAATAAATTGTTTCTTGAATTTATATCTTGATGTTGATTCTCTTGATTGTTCTTTTAGTATGAAGATCATATAATATGTTTAGAAGGATCGAGTATTTATAGATTGAGGTTATAGTTTGGTGATCAAAGTGTGATCATTACCAGAGGAGCTGGTCCTACATCTCTTTCTTCTCAAAGCCTCCACCAAAACCCATACTCAGAGACCTGGCAACCACCACCCCCCACCATCTGCGCTCTTATCCTCTGAAAGCAGGTGGAGGACCAGGAGAAGGTTCCCTCGAGCCCACAAGTGAGTGAGTGGCGAGACAAGAACGCAGGATCCGTTGGTGCTTCACAAGGTTGGTATGGTACAGCTCATCATGCATGCTGCCTCAGTGTCGTATCCCAGCGAGCCGAGTTGAAGCTCTCCCTCTCCGTCCCTCATCCTCTCCTCTTGATTGCATGTGGACAGCTCCTGTTGAGCTACCATTCTCCCTCAATTGGTTTATTCTTCTCGGTCCCCAGTTGGTAGGTCGTCCGTCATGTGTCACCCAAATGACGCCCGGTGGATCCCCACCGGCCACCTTTCCAATCAGTTAGTGACACGTCCCCGTGCCACTTGGGTCAACTTCCCGGGTCAGCGTCTTTCTTCTTCTTTGGGGATGGGAATCTGTGGTGGCGCAGGTTGGTGGTGTGTTGATGTCTTTCCCCGTCAACATCTCTCTGCTTTCGCTTCTGCTGATCTCCAAAAAAAAAAAAAAACCATATATATTTTGATGCTCACATCACATTCCTGCGTAGATAAGCACAGAAAATAAATAAGGTTTCCTTTCCTTGTGGCAATACAGTTGTTCAGTGGGCCCACTTACCGAGCGATGTCGATGTTTGGTGCACCTCATCTGTGACAAGAAGGGGACTTCCGTGGCCTATTCGAAATATAATCATTGATATATTATCTTTTTTTTTAATTATAACTGTAATTGTAATTGTAATTGGTAATAGGATTGGTTTTTTTTGGGGGGAAAGGAGGATTCATCTTCTAATTTAAATGTTTTGGTATGCAAAAAAAATTATAAAAATAAGTGATGAAAGTTTTAATCGGTTAAATTAGTTCGTACCTTCAAAAAAAATGACGGATGAAGTTTTAAATCCTCGATGATGAGATTTTGAGAGTTGATATTAATATTTTAGGTGTACTCTTGATCCTGTATGAAAACATCAGTAGGTGGTAGATAATATTGAGAAATAATATCTTATAGTTGATTGGCACAGCAGAAATAATTATAGTTATAATGTTTGTGTTCCTTGAAAATGCGAGAATCGAGAACAAAACAGATATTTTTATTTTTAGATTATATAGTACCTGTGATATTTTCTTCATGTGTACTCCTGTTCTAAGCTGGTGAATTGAAGAAACGGGAGGTTGTAGGTGCAAATGATAGCCAAGTTTAGTAGTTGGCGTGTCCTTCACAGTCTCTCTCGCCAGTGAAATTTTGTCCTGTCCTCGATCGGACCCAACTCTTCTTCGTCTCTTTCTGTGCCCAAGGTTGCATCTTCATGGCACCGTCTTTTGGTTAGCTGCATAGAATAGTTTCTCTTGCAATAACCAGCATGACAACGATGAGCTACTGAATGGAAGGTAGCCTATCTTATTACATTCAATTGCTTGCTTTACCTAAGGGAGGTTATGATATGAGTACGTAGAAGGTGGGTTCTTATTGGCCTCTCTCTCTCTCTCTCTCTCTCTCTCTCTCTCTCTCTCTCTCTCTCTCTACACCCCCGTGGCAGGAGAAAGAACTTTTGTTTCTTCACTAACAAGGCACTTGGGGATAGGTGGAAGTCGCTTTCCTCACACGTAAAGACGTGACCATCCAACCAAGTTGTACCTCTACTTCCATGCTTTTCTAGGGGAACTCCTCTTCTACATACACAGTTTGTGCATACTTGGTCAAGCCTTTACTCGTTCAAACTTGACTCGTTCACAAGCTTAATATTAAGTTTGATTTCAATCGGTAGCGGTCTGTCTTAGATAACCCATGTCACTTTTTTTGATGAGGGTAAGATAATACATGTATTTCGTGAAAGAAATCTACAACTCTTAGCTTACTCCGATGTATATTATCTTGTATCTAAGAATTATGGTTGAAGGTTAAACTTTTGGTTTGGTCCTAAGAATTAATATAATCAAAAGAGAGATTTGGGATAGGGGAGATTTTAATGGATGATGATGATGAATAAAAGGTTTTAGCGATGGATGACTCCTTATCTTCTCCTCTATTAAAGTCTTCTTTTATGATTTGTTAAAGTCCACCATTATTTTAAAGGAAATTTTGTTTAATGGAAGCAGTGGGCATTATTGGCCATTTGAGTGAAGAGGCAACATGGAGAAGGATGAGAACAAACATTTGGTGGCCATGGAACTGGTCCCATCCTTCTCCTTCACCTGCCTTTCCATGATATAATTCCCCAATTAAATCCTGTCATTATATAAAAAGGCTGAAAAAGAAGCCTCTCTCTCTCTCTCTCTGTGTGTGTGTTATATACAGCTGAAGAAGGAGAAGATAAAAAGTGGAAGGAAGAGAGCAACGAGCACAAGAAAGAAAGAACGCCATGGCTACGTCGACCACCTTCTTCATCTTCTTCCTCCTCCTGCTCACCCGGATGGCGGCCGTGGCGGCCTTCGACGTGCCGACGACACCCTTCAGCGAGGGCTTCTCCCACCTCTTCGGCAACGACAACCTCATCCGCTCCAAGGACGACCGGTCCGTCCGTCTCTCCCTCAACCGCTACTCCGGTAACCCCTCCACCCGATCGACCGTCTTCATCCTTAGTCTTACGTCTCGAGCACGCAACTAAGAAGATGATGGGTGCGGTCATCAGGTTCGGGCTTCATCTCTTCCGAACTCTACGAACATGGATTCTTCAGCGCGTCCATAAAGCTGCCCAGGGATTACACCGCCGGCGTCGTCGTCGCCTTCTACGTGCGTCACGGTCTCCTCTTTCTTTGCCCTTCCTTTTGCGTACTGCTTCATCTTTTCTTTATGCGTGTCGTTATTCCCCGAACCCAGTCGATGCATGCACTCCATATTTTTTTGGTTGAAGTCAATCGCTTCGAGAAGCGTGTAAGTTCATCACATCACATGTAATACATATATATGATCGATCACATGACGTAAGGATCGAATGCGAGAATACAAGGAAGCCATTTGTTTACATCAACAGGAGGTGAGAGTAGCAGAGAGATCACATGGCGTAGCTTAGATGGCAGTAAAGAGTCGATGAACGCAAAGCTGATTGGTTTCGACGTTGAATGAGTGCAGACATCCAACGGCGACATATTCCCCAACACGCATGACGAGCTGGACTTCGAGTTCCTCGGCAACGTGAGAGGGAAGGACTGGAGGATTCAGACCAACGTCTACGGCAACGGCAGCACCGCCCGCGGCCGGGAGGAGCGCTATCTCGTCCCCTTCGACCCCGCCGAGGCCGCCCACCGCTACTCCATCTTGTGGACGCCTGACTACATCATGTACTGCCCTTCTTCCCTTCCTTGCATTGGCATGACCAAGACGTGGTAGTCTTTTTTGGGCGTCGAGCTCCACGTTGGAGCTATCGATCGGTTTCGCTTGGCACGGTGCGAGGCCCATTGTTGCATGCTCTTATCGTCGAGCTCAAGATGGGTTCACGGTCGTGATGATTCATGGCCATGCAACGCTTACGTTCTTCTTCTTCTTCTTCTTCTTCTTCTTCTTATCGCTTGATTTTTCCCTGCAGATTCTACATCGACGACGTGGCCATCAGAGAAGTCGTGCGGAGCGACTCCATGGGGGGCGACTTCCCGTCGAAGCCCATGTCGGTCTACGCCACCATCTGGGACGGCTCCTCCTGGGCCACCTCCTACGGCAAGATCAAGATCAACTACAAGTACGCGCCGTACGTGTCGGAGTTCTCCGAACTCGTCCTCCGCGGCTGCCGCGTCGACCCGATCCAGCAGGTGGACACCGCCGAGCGGTGCGCGGAGACCGTGGAGGAGCTCATGTCCGCCGACTTCGCCCTGCTGACCCCGATGAAGCGCGCCGCCATGCGCCGGTTCCGCGAGAGGTACATGATCTACTCCTTCTGCTACGACCAGCACCGGTACGGCAACTTCACATTCCCGGACTGCGACTACGTCTCGCCGGAGCACACCAGGTTCGGGGAGTGGGGTGACAACAGGTTTCCTCCCAAGGAGGTCCGGCGATCAAGGCGACGGGTCCGGAAGCCAAGCCCCATCAACGTTCAGTCATCGGAGTAGAATCGATCTTGTTTGTCCATAGCGATGGGATTTATTGATTCTTTGGTGTTCGCGATGCTAAGTTATATCAATGTAGAGAGCATCGGTGATTGGTGTTCGAAGTTGGTGCCGCAAATAAAGATGAGTTCGTTCAAACAGATCCATCGGGCATTTAAGAGAGCATCAGTTGGTGATGTTGTGCTTTGGCTTCTGTTTTCCTGCCTTTTTTTTTTTCTTTTACACCTAAATTAACGTATAAAATATTTTAATTGAATAAAAACAACAATCTCAATTTTTATTTTACAAAAATAAAATGAGGAAGACATAATTTGAGTATATAACTTATGCATTGGATGAAATGTAAATATGAGTTTGCTCCAATATCATCATAAATATGTTGATTAGATAAACAATAATTTTAAAATCTTAAGTTAATAGAGATGAGTCCATAAATTTACAAATCTTAATAATAAATTTAGTGATGGCATGATAGTTTATTTTTCTAGTTTTATTTTTTTTCGAAGCATGTGAGTTCTAAAAGAAACTTTTAAAGAGTAAGAAAGATTTGACGGACTTATGAAGGTTCTTATAAACGAAACACTTTATGATGATCAGAGTGTACAGCGTTCTTCTTCCGGATGGCGTGACGCATCACTATCGCTCAACTAATACCATCCTCTTCTTTCTTCTTCCATGACGTGTGACGTTCGGCCTTTAGACGTTTATGGCATATCTTCAAACACGGGGTGGGTCATCCGGTCATGGCTTCCGCTGCATGTGTGGTTCGACGCTGGTGTTACTACGGTTTGCCGTAGGCTAGACTGCAGGAGTTACGAGGTCAAAGTATGCCGCGAACGCTAGCTTGTAGTTTGGAACCCATGGCATTTCTTCAAACACGCGGTGGGTCATCGCGGCGTGGCTTCCGCTGCATGTGTAGTTCGAGGCTAGGGTTCATAGAGTTTGCGGGAGTTATGGCGACGAAGTATGCCATGTACGCTAGCTTGTTGCTTGGAATTCATGGCATTTCTTCGAACAGGGGGGTGGGTCATCGGGTCGTGGATTTCCCCTGCTTGTGGGCTGGTTGCAGCGTTGGACGGTTTGCAGTGGGGCGTTGAGCTGGAGCCAGCGGCGACTTTGGGAGGAAGACGCCTCGCGGATGCCGATTGCCCTTTTTGTTGCGTGGTCAGAGACGGCGGGAGATGGATGATGAAGCCATTACCACTATGACTTGATTGCAAGTAGGGAATTAAGGTGTGAAAAGAAGACAAAAAGGGTTGAAGACGCACGCGTTTAGAGTGATCTGGAAACGTTTCGTGGGTTTTGGTCAGGTGTGGCTCGGCACGCGTTTAGAGTGATCTGGAAACGTTTAGTGGGTTTCGATCAGGTGTGGCTCGGCACGCGTTTAGAGTGATCTGGAAACGTTTAGTGTGTGGCTCGGCACGCGTTTAGAGTGATCTGGAAACGTTTAGTGGGTTTCGGTCAGGTGTGGCTCGGCACGCGTTTAGAGTGATCTGGAAACGTTTAGTGGGTTTCGGTCAGGTGTGGCTCGGCACGCGCGTTCGGAGGAGAGGAGGGAGATCTGAGCATGGTAGCGTGATCGTGGTTTCGGAATCGGCGACGGTTCTCGTATTTTAGATTTCAGTTTGAATCGATATATTTTTATTTTTTAATTAAAAAATAATTTAAAATATAAAAAAAAAATTATTTTTTAAATTTTTTTAAAAAATATACGTGCAATTACAATAAGTGTAATGGTATGAAAAATTATTGATATAAAAATTAAATTAAATTATAAAATTTTAATTACGTTGTGTATGAATGATCTCTTGGTTTTGATTTCAAAAAAATAGTTTGCCTATTTTGATTTCATAGCTATTATCATCATATTTAAAATATTATCATATTAATATTATTCTAAAACAATAATAATATTAATACAAACAACTAAAAAATATGGGCAATATCGTGATAAACACCAAACAAATTATAGATTGCCTTATTAAAAACTTTTAAAATTTATAAAATTGTTTCACAAATATTATAATGTTATGGATATAAACTAACTTATCTAACATTATTTGTAATAAAAGTACACAATAATTCTTTATATTTAAAATATTCTTTAACTAACTCTTATGTAAAAATCCATCGGATACGAACTGTTGAATCTCATATTTTGATGATAAAAGATAAGTGTTGCAAGATTAACTACAATAACAATGAAGGTATAAAGCAGATGTTGGGTCGGAGTCAAAGATCGGACAATACATCGAAGATTCGGACGATGTGCCGGAAGTTTGTCGGAAGCTCGCCGAGAGTTTGTCGAAAGTTCGTCGAGAGTTCATCAGCAGTTCGTTGAGAGTTCATCGGGAGTTCCCCGGAAATTCGCCGAGAGAATAATTGGCATATTGGATAGAGATTGCTTAGTTAATATTTTGAATTATCGTAGTTAGACCTTAAGTTGAGTTAGGATTGAGATGTAATCCTAGTAACTCAGTTAGGGGTCAACTAGGCCCTTAACAGGGCTGAATTGTGCTGGTTGAACAACTCATTCTGAAGTCACGATCGATGGTGGCACTTCTTGGGACTCAGTCTCCCAGGTGGTTTGGGTGGTGGTAACACCCAGACTAGGCGGTGGTCCTGCCAGTAGTTAATGCTATCAAGCGGTGGTACTGTCGTAGCTCGATCTCCGAGCTCTGTCAAGCGGTCGTACCACCTAGATTGAGCAATGGTACCAATTCAATGGTTTGACAATTTAGATGTCCTTCCAATCCTCTAAATAAGTGAACTCATATATCCTAGACTTATTCGATTGTTTTACAATAACTTGCAAGTAGATGAAAATGATAGGGTGTCCACCCATCTCTTAGGGCATCACATACCTATCACGGATAGTATAATTTACAACCTTATAGGAATTCTTAAGAAAAGAAGAGGTTGTTAATTTGGAGGGCTATGGGATAAAGAATATGTTGAGGTTACGTATTCTGAGGCATTAGGAACTATCTTTGGTAACCCAAAATTTTTCATTGTTCAAAAACTTAAAACATGATTGAACTGTCAACAAAAGATATAATGCTTCCTTATAGTGGTTTAATCACTAGATTAATGTGTGCACATAACATGGTTATTCCATTGGATTCAATATCATCAATGGAAACCTATTAAGGAGATTAAGATGCATAGTAAAAAATAGAATCTGAACGAGACTACCTAAGTGGACTGAACTTCCCCCACCTGAACCAGAACCAGAACCAGAAACACTTATCTATAGGGAAAGTCATTCTCCTCCTATCAGTCCCCTTGAGGTAGCACCTCCAACAGAGCAAGCACCATCCTCATCTGCCGATCCAATAGTGACTCGACTGGATCGAATTGAATAACGTCAAGAGCAAATTGAACTACATCAAGATCAAATCTTAATCGAGACGCAACAAATTCGTGGGCAACTGAATACTTTATTTAGGCATTTTGATTTATCACCACCTGAATAGATTATGTATTTTCTTTTGCTGATAAAAGGGAGTAAAGAACTAAAAATTACCATGATGAGTTGTGCACTTTGATATACTATACTTTTACATTCTATGATGTAACCTTTAAAGTCATGTGCTTTTCTATCTTTTTTTCGGACTATCTTCCTCTTAATTTATTTTATGAATGGAGCTTTCATAAATTTATTTCATTTTTATCTTCCTCTTAACTTGATATCAAATTTACTTCATACTCTTCCTCCATCACTTAGTGATTTTTGATACATGAATTTTATTGACAAATACATCTCTCACGGATTTTACTTTTGTAAATTTTTAATGAAAAACAGATTTGATTTATAAAGTTTTACTTATGATTTTGATGCTTCTTTCCCATGAATTCTTCCTTACTCTTCTTGTGAAAGAAGAATGTTTATAGATTTTTGTTATATGTGATAATCATTTGTAAGAATGGGGATTTGATTTCGTATGGATATCTTGATCGTTTTCAAGAATCCCTTCTCCTTGTTGAATCTAGAAGCTTATTTCAATGAAACTCATTTATTTTCATTTGACTTGATTCAAATCCTTTCGTAAATTTGGTTTTTGATGAATTCCTTCCTTACCCTTTTTCCTCTTGTTTTTTTTTTTTTAATGACAAAGGAAGAAAGAATCTTGCATATCTCAAGAAGAATAAAAAAAAGGGCACTTGAGCATCCAAAATAAAAATGTTAACTTATCCAAGAGTAGTTATCATGCAAAATTTATGCTAGTCTCCTCATTTTTGCTAACTTGGATAAATTGGTGTTGAACTTACTTAATTTTTTTTGAACACTTACCTTATTAAATGATTTCCTTTTTGTTGATGACAAAGGAGGAGAAATGTGGTATTTTGATGAATGACAATGTGAAAAACGAATCATATCGTAAATGCTTGAATGTATTGTGAATACTTGAAATATAACTAGTTTTGTCAAAAATATGAAAAATATCAAAATGTAAGATTGATTTCTATCGTAACGTGGCACGGATACTTGAAATTATTTATTCTTAAAATCATGCTTGACTTTATGATAAATATTTATAATTATGATAAGGTATCATGAGCTTAACTTACTATTTACAATTGATATCATGCATCGGAACGATGAATTGTCATCTTTTATCAAGAATTATTATCTTGCTAAATTTTATATTTGAAATTCATATCATGAAAATGATGATTGTCTATCATTAGACTTAAAAATAGATGTCATGCCTTGACATAATTGATAAATACATGGTATCATATTTTGAATTAGTAAATCATGATAAGCATCATGATGTGCATATTGATAAGTTTAAATAAATATAATTTATCAACTTGATGGTTGAATTGAAAGGCCTTGAATTCAAGATTGACTTTTCTCAAGTATGGCATATAGATAGGGGGAGTTAAGATTAACTTCGTCATCAATTGATTTTCATCATAAAAAAGAGAGAGATTGTTGAATCTTGGATTTTAATGATAAAATAAATTGGTAAATTATTAATCTAATCTATATGTTGAGATAAGTATTGTAGGATTAACTACAATAGCAATGAAGGCATAAAGCAGATGTTGGGCCAAAGTCAAAGATCGAACGATATGTTGAAGACTCAGACGATGTGCCGGAAGTTTGCCGGAAGCTCGCTAAGAGTTCGTCAGGAGCTTGCCGAGAGTTCATCGGAAGTTTGCCGAGAATTCGCTAGGAGTTCGTTGAGAGTTCGTCAGGAGTTCATTGGAAGTTCACCGAAAGTTCATCAAGAGAACAATTGACATACCAGACAGAGATTGCTTAGTTAATGTTTTAAATTATTATAGTTAGACCTTAAGTTAAATTATAATTAAGAGGTAATCCCACTAACTCAGTTAGAGGTCAACTAAGCCTTTAACAAGACTGAATTGGACAAATTGAACAAATCATTCAGCACCTAAAGTCACTGCCAGCGGTGACACCGCTTGGGACTCAGTCTACCAAGTGGTCTGGGTGGTGGTACCGCCCCTGTTAAGCGGTAGTACTATTGGAGCTCGATCTCCGAGCCCGGTCAAGCGGTCATACCGCCCAGACTAAGCGGTGGTATCGCCTAGTATCAGTCTGTAGGCGGTAATACCGCCCAATAATGGCGGTGGTACCGATAATACCTCAAAAATCCGGATAAGACACTTTTTTGCTCCAATTTTAAAGTTATTGTGGCCTATAAATACCTCACCATTTTTTGCATGAAAGGCTATGAAAGTGTGAACAAAATATTGAAGTCTTGGGATATAAAAATATTGTAAAAGTGTAAAAAGTCATCCTCCTCCCTTTCTAGTATTGTGACCATTCAAGAGATGTGCGAGGCTTGTAAGAATTGTCTCCTAAACCTGTGAAAAGGAGAAGAGAGCTGTAAAAGGGTTGTTTGTCTTCATCTATTGAAGGAAGACTATTAGTGGATGTCGGTGACCTCGATGGAGGAAGAATCAGAAGTGGATGTAGGTCACAACGATCGAACCACTATAAATTGCTAGTTCATTTATAAGCACTTTCTGAGATTTGTTTTCAACGAATGAATTTTTTACAAAAACCAATAATTTTTTTCGTTGCACTAATTCACGCCCCCTCTTAATGCTGCTCTTGACCCTAACATAAACATCTCTAGAAAATCTTTTAGATCTTAATATACAAAATCTAGCTCTTTCATTATTTGTAGATAATCTCATGAGAATGAAATTGTTTCCTAGACAGAAGAATACGCATAAATTTTCAACATGACAAGCACAACTAATATGAAAAAAAGAAATATCACGAAAAGCAAGTTGATATACTTTTTTAATTCTGGAATATAATCTGTACCTATCACTACACTGTCAAAACTAATAAAAAAATTTAAAAATTAAATAATATTCTTCTAAAATTATTTTTATCATTCTAATAAATCTTATCGACGTCATGTCGTTCATGAAAAATTCTAAAAATAATAATTTATTTTTGTATGATTTAATCATTACCAATCCAATGATAAGTGATTCGTACAAGAATATTTGCCCATGATCATTATAAATATCAGCACAAATAAAAACATGATTAAGCCTTTTGTAAATCTCTTAGTTTTTTTTTTATAAAGATTATGTATTGTGCTGATAAAAATGGTTTGGATTTAAAGCCTTTTTACAGTAATCAATAAAATTGACTTTTTACCAAAACTAAAAGATAAATATTTGATAAAAAAATAATCTGTCTAATACTTCATGATGTTTTAACAAAAATAAAAAATAGGATTAGTAGGATACCCAAAAATTTGAATTATCTTTTTTTTCATATTCTTTCAATTTGAAAAATCTTATTACGACAATTGAGTATGAGATGAAGGGACTTACAAATGTTTAAGACCCTATGAATTATAAGTTGAAGATGTCTAATTTACTTCGACTGATTTCCATTCTTGAACCATTAGTCTTGCAATCAAACCTAGGATCTACTAGAACCAAATCGCCTTTGGTCAGTTCCGATACGGTTTGGTACCGATGAATCGTCATTCGATTTCGATACAAATCAAATGGATTAGAGCACGATAAACAAGAAAAATTAAATCAAAAAGTGAGAGGATCAGATCTCACGTGAAACAGTTGGATCGGATCATATATTTAATTAAAATATTTTAATTTACATAAAATGATTTTTAAATTATATAATACTATTATGATGTTTTAAAAAACTAATATGCCAACAATAATGAATAATAATAATAATCTTAAACATAAAGAAAAAGATAACCTCAACCATATAGGAATAAGATAAACATGATAAAATCAACAAACATTATAAACACAAATCTTTATATATAAATTGTTCAATAGCATGTTTGAAATAGATTATCCATAGTTGTTATGATAAAGGATACGATGCTATACTACAAAAACTACAATTTACATTTGAAACAATGAAGCACAATAAGAAAGTATAGCAATAAAGAAGATCATAATAAGAACGCGAGTGAACGAGGAAAGATGAGTAGACTAGAGAGAGACCTCCTCGGAGACAAAGGAAGGATCGATGATATAAAAGTTAATTTAAGATCGAAATAAACCTCTTCTTGAACAAATAATGAAAAAAAAAGGGTCTAAACAAAATACATCTGAGTAAGCCTTACAAATCCGAACCAATTTTATTGAACGCAATTGATTCATGCAGGTTATCAACAAAAAGGTCCTCCCATCTTTGAACAAAACCGATAATCGATCAATTGATCCACTTCTCATTCTAACAACGACGAAGAGTTGTTATTTTTAGACACAATTATTCAAGCTACCAAACCAGAAGCTATATTTCTACCAAGTCTCGACCCTTCAACAATCATACAAAAAGTGTAATTATTTTCTTTCAAGTAATATCTTCAGCTTATGCAGTAAGACACTACGAATGTAGCCTAATTCTCGTATCATTTATTTGCAACAAAGCTCTATATCAAATAGAAGCCCACATGAGATAATTTGCTATAAGAGAAGCCACTATGAAGGAAGCATTAAAAAGCAAGGCTAAGATAACTGCAGCAAATGAAAGGGGGCGGCGCCTACCGAAACAACATGCCAAAGTGATGCTTCAACAGTCATGTAACCCATCCCTGTACCGTGGGCTATATATTCTTCTGAAAATTAAGCAAAAGAAGATAATACATGAATTGATTCAGATCTGAGACTCTTGATAGATAAGTATATTTGGTTAAACTGGCATAATTCTAGCCCGAAGATCTAAAAATAATAAACCGAAAGTGGATATTATATGCTCGAGATAACTCCATAAAGCAAAAACAAGTCACCATCACTTCCGGTTGTAATTTTACTCGATCCTGTGGTGGTAGACATCAAGAACCGAGTGGTTCAACTGTTCCCCAAATGCCTTGGTAGAGAACTGCTGGGTAACATGATCTCTTGCCTCTTTGCCCATCCTCACAGCCATCTCAGGGTCAGTCAGAAGCTTCGACATGGCCTGTGCAAATTCAAAAGGGGTGGGTTCGCAAAGAAACCCTGTGACATCATGTTTGATGGTCTCCAATGGCCCCCCGCTGTTGCATGCAATTACAGGTTTGCTTGCTGCCATTGCTTCCAGAGGCACAATACCAAAATGTTCGTCCTATGTGGAAAAAATATAGCATCTTATAAGGATATGATGTATCTAAAGCACAAAGGGAAAGAGTTTACAACTTATACGATACACCTGCAGGATACAGTGATTTCATTGTCAATAAAAATATGCTGACCATGATTAATGTTGGGTCACAACATACTAAGAGGCAGTCTCATGATTAATTAGTGCAAGCACAGGAAAATAGAGTCGCAGTATGATTGTAGGAGTTACCTTTTGGATGGCCTGTACTAGCCATCATTTAACAAGTGAAAAAACAAGTGAACTCCAGTAGCAAAGAGAGCAAACAGAGGTTACGTGATACTATCGCAAGTTTCTAATCATCATAGGAAGGTGATCAGTGGAAAACACAAGTGGTGCGCACACTGTAGAACTATGAGGAAAAAGAAATCTGACTCGTAACTTGGATTTTGGCTAGACCATAGGAAAAACATGGAATATACAACAGCTAAAGAACAAGGTAATTAAATACAATCCAAGCAAAACCATCTGCACAAAATTACCTTTGGCGTGTACAAAACAGCGATGCATTCTGAGAGTAATTTATTTCTTTCTGCTGTTGTGCAAGATGTAACAAATTCAACATGTTCTGATACTCCCTCGACTTCTGCCAACCTCTTTAGTTCGTCTAGGTACTCAACATTTTCCTTGAGGCGTTTATCATAGCCACCTGTAACAAAGTGCATAAAGATGCTTGCCTGTCATGCAGTTCATAGCTTGTAACTTCTTCATTCTTATAGATGAGAACAGTAACCTTATGTAATCATCAAGAGTATGAAGAAATAAAAAAAACACCTAGAGTCAATCATAACCTTTGCTTTGCACTGTAGAGGCTAAGTCAAATTCATGGGTTGGCAGGCTATTCTTATATCAGAGCTGACCTGACACTGATGAGCTTGAATAGCTCAAATGTATAAATTTGAAGTTAAACCCTCTTTCTTTCCTCATCGGAAATTCTTTTGTGGTAAAGTTGGTAAGTTCCATGCAAGATCACGCTGACGTGTTTATTTAATAATCACATACAAGTCTTATAAACATTGGATTAGTCCACAAAGCTAACCAATATATGTTAGTGGCTAATTTGGCACATGCTGACATGATATGACATGGGAGTGTCACATTGCAATATTCTAAATCTCACATAAAGGTCAAGGTCATATGGTGATTATGAGGTCAAACGGTATCAAATTTCTCTAGCATAAAATAAACTAGGAATACCTACCCAATCCTCCAAATTTTGTGAGCAAAAATGATCAGGTATATCACAATATAAGCTGTGGTTATTTGGGACTCATGGAAACACAATACATGGAGTTTCAACAGCAAGGAATTCCTTATCATTTTAGGAGGTATGTCGGTGAGTGGATTTATGCCATAGCAGTAGTCATGCCCTGTGCGGACACAATTCTGATAAAACACATGTCAATCAATATGGACTTGCATGCCCAGCAAGGCAATGCATGATTTGCCTTGCTTTGAAATCCATTTAATTATTTCTCCATGTTACATACCCAACATACTTCCTGCCCAGACTCCACCTATTATTTTATTAGTAACTTGAACAAACATGCACCACTCTATATGATTATATCATATTTTAAGTCTCTAAAGAACTAGGACTTACTGAGAAAATTAAGAAAAAGGTCCAAACCACACTGACCAAACCATATGAAGGAGAAAGAAAGTAATCGAAATATATAATCACCTGCAATTGTCAATGTAGCCTCGGCATAACTAGGAGGTGCACTTCCAAACGAACGAAGAAATGCAAATGCTGATATCGCCAATTGAAGGTTCTTTTTCCTTTCAAAGCGGTTTACTGAAAGGAAATTCAACCTGAGCAATATAGAAAAATTCAAAACTTTAACGGACTCAACACATGCACAAAGTTGATATATGATCTAAAGCTCCTACAGTGGTATCCTAGAATCATATTCAACCAGTGAAGATGGCAAGATATATACGAGTATGTCAGTTACTTGTAGGTGCAAGGCCCGTCAAACTGTTCAACATTAACTGCTGGATAGAGTACAGCAGGACGAGTTCCTCTTGAATGGATTCGACAGAAGGTTGTGGCAAATACAGATGCAGTGTATTTGCTGTTGACTAAGATTAGATCTGCCATACCTGTACATATCATAAATCAACCAACAGCGAATACTGATGAGCACATGGAAAATTGAAGAGAATACTGAAGCAAATACATGTGCCAAGAAGAGCAAAACTCAAAATAAAGAGATTTCAGCAGACGACCTGTAGTTGCTTCTTCGATCATGTCAATTGGACAGCGGTATATCCTCCTAAGCATAGTTGTGTGTTGTGCCAGCAACAAATCAGGAAAATGGCAGTAGAATAATATCTAAAAGAGACTCAATGATCCATCACCATAAATTCCAAAGTCTTAAAAGTTTGAATGAATCACAAAACCAAGGATAATACCTTTGTCGACCGTTTTAGTTTCAGCAGTGGAATGACAACAGAGACCTGGTCCGCCAGTATAACATCGAATGCAGGCCATAAAAGAAGAACACAGAGTGCAACAAAAATACATCGAAGATATGCACATAATGCATGAAAGCGGTAGAATATGTGGCGAGGCAGGAACCCACCATATACTTTAACGGAAAAAGGACCTGAAAAATGTTGACAAAATTGTTAGCATCATTAGTTCGTTACTCGATTCCGCTTAACTGCTTAAGTATCTGCATAAAACCAAAACAAAATTTGCTCAATTCACCCGCCCTTCTGGGACAGCTTGTGAAATGCAATGGTTTGGAAAAATTTCATGGTATCCACAACAATGAACAAGCAACACCAAGCTCAACGATTCATGCCTTTTAGCTAATTAAATGGTCTGGAAATTCAAATAAATTCTTAATTATATTGTTTTTCATGGAAATTACATGAGAGATATTTTAGCTAACAACCAGTCCTAGAATTGTGCAATACGACAAACAACCAATCGTTTCATTCTGATGTTAATAAAGTCATCACTAAACCCTAGAACAATTGAAAGTTGTGTAATACAACTACTTGTCAAGAATATTCAATGCACATTTCACATTTTTAATTTCAAAATCTTAGTTTCCAATGGTTTGGTAGTGCTTAGTTGTCAATGTTATGATAGTATTGCAGCTTAAATGACAAAACCCACAACATACTCACCAGTAACAGTCTCCTCAAAACATCGATTCTTGTCATGATGTGATGTAAAAAGGTGAACACTATGCCCATGCGATGCTAGTTGAACGGCTGCATCGACAATCAACCTTTCAGCACCACCTACAGATAAAGATTAGGTCATCATTTATCATGTATGAAATGCAAATAACGATTAACCATGATGAATGCTTTAATGGATACAAATGAGGAAAAAACACAAACTACTGATTATGCCAAGTTGGTGCCTTAATTTTAAGAAAATAAAGTAGTGACATTTTTATTACATTTATCAAACGAGACTAAATCTTACAGTAAAATTTATTCATTGTACTTCCACTTGCAGCTTGAAGCTGATACCTTGGGAAGTTTCAATATATTCTGTTAATTCATTGATCATAGGAACTCAGACTAATCGTTCATCAATATATTCGCCACAATCTCTTCCATTTCCAGCTTTGATTGGCACCTTCAAAAAATTGATATTTTTTGCATAATATGAAAGGATATATTGGGCACTCAAAGCATGATATGCATTTTGATCACCCAAAGTACAGTATGTCTCACTCTACATTCAGTGCTTACTTGTTTTTATTATTTGAAGGCATACCATGAAGCCGTCAACACAAATACACTCCACTACATGAATAAATCCTAAACTTTTAAGGAGAACGTTGTTGCAACGACCATTGTCAGTAAGACAAAGTCACATGAAGGAAGCATAAAATTTTTTCCTCTTTTTCTATCCAATTTGAGGGGTAAAAGGTATGTAAAGTAGGAAATTCAAGACAACCATCTACGTGTTCCAGTCTACTTGTTGTCTAAATTCTTGTGAAATCTGTGGATTGGAGTAAAATTAAAAGAAAAAAAGTTGAAGAAGCCTACAGAAGAACTTATTTAGAAAAAAAAAACTTTACGCCAGTCAAATCCTTTTGTTTCCTTCTTTCTTAGACAGATTTCATGAGAATTATCCACAGAAGCTATGTGCCTACACATGATATCATTTGAACTTGCAAATCATATTTGTCAATATTTATAAACTGGACTTGGCATGATGTGGCAGAATATTTTAGGGTTTTGTTGGGCCGATAAGAACGAGAAATTTCTTTAATAGAAAACGAGATGTACAAATATTGATGACCAAAGGAATCTCAGATCGGTAACGAAGCCAGACAATCACGAGCATACGCAAACCATGAGAAGTGATCACGAACCCGACCCATCAAGAGCAAAGAAAGAAGTTAATATTACTCCCACGACACATGAATAGAATTCTAACATCTCAACTAATCTTTCCACAATAATCCGCCTCATTTATCTAAGAATTGCGTAGGGTAAAGATCAAATTAAAAGAGCGAATCAATTTGAGAAGGAAAAATCCCTGGATCGTGTGACGAGGAAGGAGAGAGACTGACCGATCCCGAGATCGGGGTGGATGATGGCGATCTTCAACTTCTTGTTTGCGTTCCCATCATTCTTCGTCATCCCTTCCTCCCTCGCACCCGACCAAGTCCCTTTATCGGCAAGATGGATCTCTAGCCCACTCCAATCTCGGGGTGATGCTATCGTCCGAGCCGGGCGGTGCGACGGATGGAACAATACATACACATACGATGGCACAGTGAACGGCGGCCGTCGAAACGGGATCGGGGATCGACAAGGCGGGGGAGGAAGACGCCGTCGGGAGTAGAACAAAGCCGGCGAAGGCGAGGATGCGTGTTGACATAAGAGGATCGGGGAGAGTGACGTCATGATTTCCCAAACCGGATCCTGACCGTTCAAAACAAACAGAGAGATCCCGGCCATTGGGTGCATAAATCGGATTCGGGTCTTGATCCGCTAGTGATTGCGGGACGGGTTTTCGGATCAAGAACCTCCACCCGTTTCAAGTGTTGGTTATTATAGTGCATGGTTATTAGATTTTTTCCATTTGTGGATAAAAGTTCTTCAACGTATATTTAACCATTACATGTATCTTTATCCTCAAAATGACGAGCTGCTAATGTCTTTTAGTAGAGTATAGCAGTGGCAAACAGATCTCCACTCTGTGACAATGCATGGAGACGCTTTCGGCGTTAAGGTACTAAGATAATCTCAAGTCAAGAGGGTATGTGGAAGTCAGCTCCTTCTGGAAATAACTCGACACTGGATCTTCCTCCATCTCCGTTTGCTCGGCTGCATCCCTCACGAAGCTCCCTTGATTCATCTCCTCGCTTGCTCCACATAAGCCGAGCTCCTTCTCCAAGTATTCCAGCCATTCCAAGCTCTTGTCTTCTCCTTCCGCCGCCTCTACCGAATTCCTCTGAGTCAGCTCCGCCATGGCCGCCGCCTCCTCCTGCCATGGACTCAGAGATTCCAGCTGGATCACCGCGTCAGGTGTCACTAAGAAATCTTTCATGGCATCTGATGAAGAAGAGCAAGGAGAAACTTTGGAGCTCTCGTCTCCTGTGCCATCCTCCTGCTGTGGCGACCCCCATATATCCATTGGGAGCTCAAACATTTCGATTGACAGATCAGCTAAGTCTAAACTTGGATCATCTTTCTCCACATGAGCATAGCACGAGAGGTACGTGCTCGAGGAAGATGAGCTCTGAGAGTCGTCTGGTTTGTCGACCGACATCGATCTCCGCTCTTCGGATGCCAACCTCTTCTTCAAGTGCGTGTTCCACACGTTCTTGATCTCGTTGTCTGTTCTTCCCGGCAGGCAGGACGCAATCTTCGACCACCTGACCAAAATGGCATCATCGAATTAGGCTTACAGAGAAATCCAGAGCCACCTATACGGTGACATCTTAGATTCGGGGTCTTACTTGTTTCCCAGCAACTTGTGTAGATTAATTATGGTATCTTCTTCTTCCTTTGTGAAGTTACCACGCTTGATGTCGGGGCGAAGGTAGTTGATCCACCTCAAGCGGCAGCTCTTCCCGCATCGCAGCAGGCCTTTTAAGATCAGAACACTTGAGCAAAGTCAATTTAGCTATCACTCGTCTGAACTCTACTACAAAGCATTTGATAGAGCATGATGAAACAGGAAGGAGGGAGACCTGCAAGTTTAGGAAGAGCACGCCAATTCCCGTGCCCGTGCTTCTGGATGTAGGCTATCAGTCTCAGGTCCTCTTCCTGCGTCCATGAACCCTTGTTCAGGCCGACCTTCGCGCAGCAGGGCGCTCGTCCTCGACCCATCTCTCTTTCTCTCTAGTCACACCTTAACTTCCACTTCTATAGTTGCAGACAACTGGAGGAGTGAGCTCTTATATAAATGGCGGGAGGAAGGAGGCTCACAGCAGCACTTCGATCACCAAATCTGGACTCGCAGTGTTAGATTCTCTCTCTACTAACAATTGGTTCAGGGGCCACTTGGATTTGAGACACCTGCCGTGTTCTGCTTCCTGCTCTCTGCCACGAGAGCTTCTACTCCATGTATTCAACTGAGTTGGTGGCAGTGTCGTAGCCTTTACCAATCTACCAAGAAAACAGGTGACATGATTAAATGGCGACCACATCGATTCTTCGGCAATCCACTTAATTAGGCGCTCTTAGTGGTGCAAACAATCCGATCACATCATCACCTTCGTCATTAACCTGAAACTTCACGTCAGTCATGCTAATCTACCTCGAAGAATAAACTTGACTGGTAGTACGATGCACTACTATGACAAATCTACAAAAGCTAGCTCGACTTGAAGATGAACTCAACAAGTCAAGCGATAAGAACTGACATCAGCTGGGGAGTTTTGGAAGGCGTTGGGTGGCTTGAAAATGGCGCAGGTTGGTATGTTTAGGAGGTGAGGTCACAAGGATGGAGGAGGTATAAATCATTAGATATGATCAAAGAAATATGTAAGCAAATGTTGTTAATGGCGTCAGATCAGAGAGTCACATGGTTTAGGTGACTAGTTTCATCTTAGAAGAGAAGGTAGCTCAACTTTTAGCCAACCCCAGTCCTTCGACAACCAATGGCTCCTTCACCTCATCCTCAAGTACTGTTCACCACATTCCTCAAGCCTTGAAGCAGGAGTAACTGGCATTTATATCCTTTTACCTTACAGTCGCCTAACTTTGAAATGGTTCATCATTCAAGGGTTGCAATAATATTATATCCTTCTTGTAGACTTGTGGGAGTGCTGAAGCTGTCAAAGTTCTTGGTGTTTCTGGTCTATGATTTTTAGCTTCTTTCTTTGAGTCTCTGAGGGCTGATCAATGACAATTTAGCTAACCTACCTTTTGACCTTCTGTGTCAGATAACTGGGAGAAAACAACAAAATGAAGGAAAGGACAATGACTGGGACAGAACAAGAACTGATGCAGAGTAAGAAGTATGATGAAGTCAATGTATGCCCAATGTACACAAAGACAGCAATTGATGCGTGATATGAATGGGACACGTGGTTGTTGATTCAATGTAAATGTGTGAGGCTTGATATCACGTTTGAATGGAAGCAATGGCTTTGCTTCCTTCTGCAAGGCAAAGACTATGCGGATCTCAGGTTGCATGATGGGATGATCGAAGACAGAGACACCGTTGATGGAACTTGAAACTTCAGAAAATTTAGCTTTCAATCATCAAACAAAAATGTTTGAAAGTTCTTCAGTTTTTTGTCTCTCTTGACACCAATCTTTGATCTTTTTCCACGGTTAACTTCAGTTTCACCATGCACCGGGAAATTTGCTTTATATGATTTCCAAGCCTACGCAACACATCGATTTCAAGAAGTGCTAAATGGAACTTGCTGAAAGATTTGCAGAAGCTGAATCGCATCCACAGTGTAGAAGCCAGATTCAACTAGTTTGTACATGGAAGAGCTCATCATCTTCTCGCAGTGCAGAAGCCAAGTGAAAGTTTAATTCATGTGGCAGGATCTTAGTTTTCTTTTCCCAGTCCCAGAGAAAGCACACACCACATAAGTTACAGCAGTAGACCAACATGAGCTCTCGGCCACCTACTTCAAAAGCTTTGGTTTCACTGCCGTACTTTGTGTAAGGAAATTAGTGGATGGACTTTTCTTGTTTAGAGAAAGTCAGATTGTATGGAGGTAGAAAGATGTTGATCATTATGATTCAACTAGAGGTTCCCACAAAAGCTGGATGATTCGTCAATGAATGATGAACACCCTGTCTTTACTTGCCCCATTCATCATAGCCAGATCATAGATTTTCCTTCTTGAACCAATCAAAAGGCACCAGAGCTTAAACTGCTCTTCTTATTCTTTCTCTACTATGCTTTTAATTGAGGAACAAGTTTACTCTAAAGATCGTGAAGCACATACAAACTCCCAGTGACATCCAAACATTCTTCGATTTGACTTCTCTTGTTCATACAAATGCAACCAACAAGGAAACAGATGCAGGATTTCTGTAGTCCACATCCATCTTGTCTTGTGCGATACCGTGAAGAGAAGGATAATGAAAGATGGCAGAGCGTGTCACAACTAAAGTTTGAGTGAAGGAGTGATCGAAAATGATCAAACTTGTAGGGCTTTTTTCGCCTTCTAATCTTTTTGACTACTTGTTCATGCTTCCTCACTCCTTTTCATTAACATGTGTTGCTGCTCTCTTTTAGCTCTTCATTAACATCTTGTACACACACATTTCTTCACAAACACTGATAATTTTGATTGTTCAGGTCTGCATCTATCTCTTGTGCTGAAAGATAGGAGCATATTATCATGCTTGTTTGTAACTACGATTAGAAAAGGTGTCAAAACAGAAGAGTCGTAGATCATGTCTCAAAGTATATTAATTGGAAATTAGAGAACACCAAATCTGTGGCATTATCCATCACAAACCAACCACAGAAAGAGAGCATCACAAGTCACTCACCACCTTTTTGAGTCAGCTGAAACAGAGACCGGTCCCTACTGCCCAAAGCTTTCGGATACGAAGCATTCTCCTCGTTTTTTAAATGATTAAAGGACAGGAAACCATAGCAATCGGTTGTTGGTTGCCATATCAGAGTCGGGATTAAATTACGTTTTCAAGCGAGTGCTACTTCTCCTCAACTGCTCTTGTTTTTGTCTCTCTCTCTCTCTCTCTCGCTCTCTCTCGTCAGCTCTATTCTGACGGGTTTGGTGGATCTGCAGTGGTGAATCACTCCCATCATTGACTCGCGTCTCACGTAAGTGTGGTGTGAGCAGAGCGTCAGGCCGAGAGCTCCCGCACAAAACAAGTGCTGCTTCTGCTGATGTCTTGGAACAGAGTTAACTCCGAGGGCAGAGCACTGGTCTTTACTGTTTGTTTACGAGGTAATCTCTTTGATGTATTATCATTCCTATTTTAGATGATATAATATGTAATCACGATTTGAGACAAACTAAATTGAGCCGTACCAGAGAGGATGGTGGAAATTTATACAAACACTTCATCTGCTCTGTTTTTGGATTTCCTCTTCCACAAGTAGAACTCTCAGGTTGACGTGAACTCCTCCTCTGTTATGGAACTGTTTAGTGCCACATCGAGAAGACTTTTAGTCCCACATCAGAAAGAGTCCAGAGAGAACAACAGCGAGGATCTCATATAAACCATGATACCCGACCGATTAAGGCGTGGTGGGCACAGACTGAACAATTGTTTCGCCTTTTACTAAAGAATACTGTGGCGCCAAATTTTTTAGGGCCCATGTCTGCATTCGAGTGGGGCCCATCAAATCGTTAATAAGGTATTTGCTTCATCCTAATTAGTTTGTTTTGTGCTCGTACAATTTATCCAAATAATTGGGGT